CCACAGACACTCCGTATACTTTTCTCCTTGGTAACTTTCCTCTCCCTTTGTTTACCAGGTTGCTAGCAATGATGCCTTTGAGAAAACCCCCGAAGAGCTAGCCATTTGCTCTGTGGACAAGGGAGACAGGAAACATTCTAAGCCTCAGTCGTGTTTTGTTTGTGTCTCTTAGGTGCTGAGACAACCTAGTCACACACAAAAAAGTAGTGGAGACAAAAGAGCAGACAAATCAGGTGTGGTGGTGGTATGTGCTTGTAATCCCAACATTTGGGAGGTAAAGGCAGGAGAATCCGGAACTGAAGCATGGCCTATGGGAGACTATATTTCCAAACAAACAGAAGCAGATAGTCCAATGCTAGGGACTAGAAAAAGGAGAAAGGGAAATAGGGATCGTTCAACCCAGAGGAAGCAGTGCCCCTGTGATTTTTCTACTGGCTAGAAGTCAAAATTTCCCATTCCTCATGCCAGGGCACCACAATTCCAAAGAAAGGCTGTTGGGGAGGAGATAGGATGGGGAGGAGGAATCTTTGAGCTTCCGCTAGGTTAGAGTTGTGTTTATTCAAGTTAAAAGTCTGAACAGGGATTCCATAGAAACAGTTTTTGACATTTCAATTGTGTGTGCGTGTATACATGTGTGTGTTTGTGTATGTGTGTGTACTTAGTATATAACAGCCCAAGTGTAGAGGTCAGAAAACAACTTTCAAGAGTTAGCTCTTCTTTCCTTTGTGGGCTTTAGGGATTGATCTCAGGTTAGTTGTAAGACTCTCACCCCAAGTACTTTTACCAACTGAGCTGCCTTGGTGGCCCTAAAAACATGGTATATGAATTAGTTAGGCTCTCTAGTGTTATTATGACACAGAATAATTCTCTCCATCCTTCCAGCCCAACCCAGAATATAACAAAGCCCCATCCACCATATTTTCTATGAAATAAATGTATATTGAATGTTAAACAGCATTTATAAACTCATTGAAAGCTGCTTCTGATGAATAATATTAGGCTTCAAAACCAAGCCTTGAGCTAGGTGTGGCAGTACACACTTGTCTTGTAATACCATCTGAGGCAACAAGATCAGGAGTTCAAAGCTACCCTTGGCTATATAGCCAAGGTCAGCCTGAGATACATGAGAGCTGTCTTAAATAGTCAAAAGGGGGCACTGGAGTGACAGCTCAGCACTTAAAAGCACTGACCGCTCTTGCTAAGGACCTGGGTTCAATTCCCAACACCCACATGTTGGTCCACAACCTTTTGTAACTTCAGTTCCATGGGATCCTGCACCATCTTCTGACCTCTGAATGCGCCAAGCATTCATATGGTACCCAAACATACATTCAAGCAAAACACCCATACACATAAAATAAAATAAGATTTTTTAAAAGCAAACAAGTCTTAAGACACTGCTATTTAAAAGTAAAAACCATTTCAAGCCAGATTCATCTTCAGTATAATGATTATACATTTGTGAATGCTATTTACATATAATATTAATTTACATATTAAACTTATTTGGCTAAGTAAAGCGTGTCTTTTAGAATCAATTCATCATGACAGGTGGTGTTTCTATAAAAACAATTTGGTTCATTTCATTAACAACATTTTCTTTTCTCTCCAATAATCTGTTTTAATCCAAGACAGGTGTGTCATGTTATTTTGAAAAAACAGTTAAATTGCTTTATAATATTTCCCAAGCCTAGGAATTAGAATACTTCATGGAAAATAATAGCACAGTGTCCATACGCCCATGCTATGAATTGCTGCAACTCTCCCAGCAATGAGAGCAGAATATGGAAGATTGGCAGTCATTTACTCATAGAAAGAAAACACAAAGCTTATTTACCAAACTGAAAAGAAATTAGGAAAGCTATTTTCTTCAGATTGCATGTCTGCTCAAATGCACTTTCTTAATTATATTTTGTAAGTGATGAATTTTTATGTCTCGTTAATCTTTTGGTTGGAAATTAAACATCAGTTGATTATCCATTAAGCTGCAAATCATGGGTACTAGGAAATTTTAAAGATAAGATTCTAGCCAGCCATGTGTCTTGAAAAGGTAGTAATAATGCATCTGCTGGCTAAAGTTGACAAAACCCCTTTCTGTAGAGAGGCAGGGTAGTGTTGTGGATAGACCCAAGGTTTGGCTTCAGACCTCCATATTAAGCCTGCCATGACCACTTACCAGCTGAAAACATTTCTAGGCCTCAGGTTTCTCAACTGTAAAATGGGACAAACACCTATACTGAAATGCTTAACATAAAATGGTAGCTTTACAAATCCCGTTAGTTTTGTTTAATCTGAGTAGTTTCATTAGGAAATAGGTTTTACCTGTTTTTTTTTAAGATTTATCTTACTTTTAATCATGTATATATGTGTGGGAATGTGCACATGTAAGTGAAGGTGCACATGGGATCCAGAAGAGAATGTCTGATCCCCTGGAGCTGAAATTATAGGCAGTCAAGTCTGATGTAGTCTGATGTAGGTGCTGGGACAGAACTCTGCTCTTTCTCCAGTTCCTGCTTTTATGTTTTATGGATGAGTTATTCAAGACTCAAGCTGTGTCCAGCACTTTCCCTCGGCTGCTTGTGGAAAATGGCTGTGAAATGGATATAATGGATAACACTGAGGATGTGATGTGAGTGTCCAGTCACAACTAGCCGCCCCTGAGGCAGCCACTGTCAGACCATTCCCCCTGACACACATACGACACTGCATGGCCAGAGCTGCTCTTGTGGTTGCTGAAATTGCATCCTTGACTGAACCCAGAAACTGGAGGAGAGAGGATTCATTTTTAATAGGGATCACCTGCAAGTTACTCCATTTCCAACCCACTTGTACTCGATCGCTGATAGTAAGTTTCTTTGGACACATTTCACAAGCTGTGGTAACACGGCAATTGGAGACCACTACACAAACTGTGTTCAAGAAAACAAATTTGGCCACTTTTTAGTCGAGAATCCTTATTTGGGGTGACAAGGAAGGTTGGTGAGGCCAGCAGGAGTCTCAAAAGTTAAGACTGCCTTGTCGGTACTTGGACATTCTTGAGCAGGAAGGCTGTGGGGCTAAAGCACTGGTTTTCAGGATGGTGAGTAGGGAGAGAAAGGGAGCCAGGGGAAACACTCAGCCCACTGAAGTGTGCTAGACGGGATATGGGACATGACGGAGGCTTCAACTTAGGTGGTTGTAGCAGGAATCTTAGGTCTTACTAATAAAATCAAACCTGAAGCCAGTTATTGGGGTGAATGCTGGAAGATCACAGAAGCAGAACAAGCCACAGCTACCTCACCTTGCCAATTCCTCAGCTGATCCTGTTTCCTCAGACTGGAAGCTTGTGAGTCCTTATCCAGAGTGAATCTCAGATGAACTGCTGTTAAAAGCCTAAAAGCTTAACCAGCCAAATGCTTCTAGTTTCTGATCTTCACGCCTTATATACCTTTCTGCTTTCTGCCATCACTCCCTGGGATTAAAGGCTCACTTCTTGGGATTAAAGGCATGAGTCACCATGCCTGGCTGTTTCCAATGTGGCCTTGAACTCACAGAGATCCAGAGGGGTTTCTGCCTCTGGAATGCTAGGATTAAAGGTGTGAGTGCCACCATTTTCTAGCCTCTGTATCTAGTGGCTGTCTGTTCTCTGACCCCAGATAAGTTTGTTAGGGTGTACAATATTTTGGGGGAACACAATACCACCATAGGTGGTAGCTGTAGGAGTGTACAAGAATAAAACCCCCAAGGAGATCTGGAACTGGCCAAATATGTATAGGTCACCAAGGGGGTTAAGTGGTCATGGGAGAAAGCAAAAGTTTCAAAATCAATTCTCAGGAAGTAAGTCCCTTTCTCTAATCTCCCTTTCCTTTTCTTTCCTCCCACCCTCTCTCCCTCTTCCTTCCTTCCATCTCTTTCTTTTCATCCCTCCCTCTCTCTTCCTCTCTTCTTTTTCTTTCTCTTTTCCTCCTTCCATCTTCCTTGTCCCTTTTCTTCCTTTTATTTCATTCTTTTTTTTAATTTCAAAGAAAGCTATTTTTAATAGCAGAGTATCAACAAATACTAAAATCAAATAACAATGGTTTGGATATAATATAAATATTTATAATATGTGTATAACATAAATGTAAATTATTTATTTTATAAAGTAATTTATTTACTTATCCATAAACTTGAATGTTATGTCATTCTTTTATACAGCATCTCATTCTTTATCCCACTCTGTCCTAGAAGTGACTATGTAGCTCAGACTGACTTCAATTCATGGAGATTCTCCTGTGTCCTGAGTGCTAGGACTCTAAGTGCTGCCACATCTAGTTCTCTATATTTTTAAGTGTATATTGAATGACCTTGAAGTCACAGCACTCATTGATAGAAACAATCTGGAAAGGTACTGAAAGACAGAGAAAGCAGTATCTGAGATACACATGTTTTTAGGGCTAGGCTCATGAAACATGCTTTTATTCCCACCAATATGCTGCCTATGGGGGTGTTGAGGTAGCCTGCAGAACTGCATTAAAATCCTAGCCAAAATGACTCTAGTTAGTCACACCAACACCCTGCTGCCTGCATACAGCTTTTGGTTCAGTGGAGTGAGAGGGAGGGTTTACTGGATGGTTAATCTTGGCATCAAACCAGCAAATAAGTAGAATGTTTGAAGTGACCAAGAAAACATACTCTTTTAACTTGAGGTTGAGGTCACTGATAGACTCTTCACCCTTTCACCTGGGTACAGCCTCCTTATAAGGGGGGCATTTTTGTTTTGTTCATTACTGCAGCACTCTCCCAGGACAGAGCCTGCTCCCCAGTAGATGCTCAATCAGGAAGTGTTGACTGAGTAAATAGCACCAGGAATTCCAAGTGTGGGCCACCACCATCTCCTCTGTGCTGGGCACAGAACTAATGGCGCTGGAGAGATGAATAATGGCTGATTTCATTGTGTAAAATATACTAACACATTAAGTCGATATTTGACATCAGATATTCAGCAGTATTGAAAGTATATCCATTTTTTTTAACTCTAGTGATGATCTAGAACGATTCATGGAAAACCAAGGTGCATCCAGCCCGGGTATCCTCATTTTAACAACAAGCCTCAGCAAACCATTCATGCGACTGGAAAAGTATGTTACTCTTTTGCAAGAGCTGGAGCGACATATGGAGGTAAGGGAAGAAAAGCTTCAGCAAGGTCCTTTGCCTACTGGTGTCCTCTGTGCTGCACAAAGCAGATGGTCTGCCTCCAAACTAGCTTTGCTAAGAATCTAGAAAATAGCTTGGTTTCAAATTCTACTTGATCTGATCTTCCCTCTTCCCCAAAGACCTCCTAGCATTCCTCTTTATGCAGTGAAAGAAGATCCCCATTCTTTCCTGCTCAACAGTTATCATTCTTCCTCCTATTCCCTCTCTCTTCCAGGCCTCAGCTCTGTTGCTTCCCTCAAGACAATGCACATTCATTGACTTAGGTTTTCTTTTGCCTTCTTGTCTATAGAGCGGTGATTCTCAACCTTCCTAAGGCTGCAGCCCTTTCATACAGTTCTTCATATTGTGCTGACCTCCAACCATAAAATTATTTCCTTACTACATCATAACTGTAATTTTGCCACTGTTACAAATTGTAATGTAAATATCTGATATTCTGGATAGCTGGTATGTGATCCTAAGGGAGTCTCAACCCACAGGTTGAAAACTGCTGCTGTATTTGATGGTTCAATGGCAATCAGACCTACAAATCTCTGTTGTTCTTGTGTTTTAACTAACATTACTATGATAGAAAAAGCAAACCAACATCAGGAAACATGGAGACCAACCAAAAAAGAAAAGAAATATAAAAAATGTTTGTTGCAGATAGGAACACTGTAGAAATTTGATTTTCTGACTCTGGCATTCCCTAAAGATTATAAATGGGTCCAATACTGCTGTATCACTGTGCATTAGTATATCTACATCAAAGTCCACTCACATTTTTGTTTATAAACTGAATTTTATGTGTAATGATTGTAGTGCAGCTACAGTCTTTTTTAAATACTAGGAATTGCAAAGAGGTCTGATAATTGAACATGGAGCACCCAGATCCCGTTGTGATTTTCAGAAGCAGTCACATTGCCTTGAGCTGTTCTTTCATGATCTTGCATGGGGTGTGGAGGCGTGGGTGGGAAAGACTGTGTTTACCCTAGTTGCTCTTCCTGTGTCTGGGGAAAGGTTTTGAGGTTTGAAAGGGGTTGATTATCTTTAAAGCAAAAGGTTCCATGCTGCGGTGCTTGTCAGCGTTTGTAAGGACCGAAAGCACCCTCTCTGAGTGAAAGCACATTCTCAGGGTATTTGAGCTGCCTCAAAGTTGGAGGCAATGGGGAGCTGGTGAGTAAAGGCTGCCAGAATGAAATTTCACTTGGGGCTCTGGAAGGTGTTGACCTCTGGATGCCTTTCCATATGCTAAGCCAGTTCACCAGATTGTTTCTTCCTTATCACAAAAACCCAGAAACTGTTCCTTCTCCGAGCTGCAGCACACTGCTGCAGTCGGAACTCAGTGAAGCTGGCAAGAAACCCCCAGGCCTAGGTGCTGCTCCTGCTGCCTCCCTCACCCGTTTCTAGCCCAGCCTCCACGTGATCACATTTGCTTTGACTTCCTTCTGATGCCGCCATCAGATGATACACTCCAGGATGCCAGCACCATCCAGATTTCTAATCACCTGTTAGGATAAGTTTTACCACGAAAGAATACACACTGACTCTATGTGAACAATCCTGCCTGTGGCATGAGTCAGACCTCTAATTGTTGTACCCTGTTTTCTACCCAACTGGATGAGCAGAACCAACTTTCTCATTTCTCCAGCTGAAATACCCCTAGGCAAGGTATGCCTGACAGGTCCATGTTCCTCACCATTAGGTGCACTACAGGATCAGTGATATCCCTCCAAGGAATTATTTAATGACTATATTTATTATTAAATATTATTTTAAAAACAGTTTTTAAATGTAAATATATTTTGATTATATTCTCTCCTTCCCCCAAGTTCTCTCCCCCTCCCTACCCATCCGACTTTAAGTTCTTTCTCAAAAAAGAACCCCCTAAACCTAGAAAACAAAATACAGCAACACCCAAAAAGAACAAAACGAACCCATCAAACTATGACCAAATAAAAGCGCACATACACACATAAAAGCCTGTGGAGTCCATTATCTGTTGGTCAGGGAAATGGGAAATTTTACCTCAATAACAATACCTATTATGTTGTTACTTAATATATAATGTGTTATAAACTATCTTAAAAATCTATGGTGTTTGTCTAAATACTGCTGTTTACAATGCCTATGTATATATGTGTATGCATACATTAAAACATCATATTGCCTACCATAAATATGTATAATTTTGCTTGTCAATTAAAATGAAAAGATAATAGTAAACTCAAATGTTATGTGCAAAATAGTCAGTCGTGTAATATGATAAGTTAAGAATTAAGAAAATATACCAGAATTTAGGATATCAGTACTTCCAGTAATTAGGTGATTAAGAAATTTTCTGGGGCTGGAGAAATAGCTCAGCAGTTGAGTGAACACTACTTTTGCAGAGGACCCTAGTTCAGATGCCAGCATCCACGTCGGCCAGCTCACAACTGACTGCCTGTAGCTCCAGTCAGCTCCAGAGGAATCCAAAGCCTCTGGCCTCCTCCAACACCAACATACTCATGTGTGCATACTCTCTCACACACTCTATCTCATATAGGCACATCACTAAAAAGAAAATCATCTCAAAAGATAAGAATAAATAAATAAAATTTCTTTTGATCAATAGTTCCATGAATTTTAACACAGGTGTGAATTCATATAATTACCACCATAGTGAAGATATAAGACAAGTCCATCACACACACACACACACACACACACACACACACACACACACACACACACACACACATACACACACATACACAGACACACACACTTCTACCTTGTTGTCCTTTTGTGGTCATATGTTCATCTCACCTCATCCATGGCAGCATCCATTCTCCTCTCATACTGTTTTTATTATTTATTTTTAATTATTTTATTTTTTGAGATTATAATATAATTACATCATTTTTGTCCTTCCCTCTTCCCTCCAAACCCTCCCATATACCCCTTCTAGATCTCTTTCACTCATGGCCTCTTTTTTCATTAATGTTGTTACATACATATATGCATATGCTGATACTGTTTTTAAATGTATTCCTTTGATAGGACACTCATCCGGATCATCAGGACATTCTGAAAGCAATCATAGCATTCAAAACCCTCATGGTAGGTGACACTCTCAGATTGTCATACTCCATTTTGTATACTTTGTTGCTGAAAGAATGATTTGTGTGTAGCATTTCTTTCCTTAAGCAAAGGTCCTCAGGATGGAAACAATAAGCTCCGTGATTGTTACATTTGCTTTTGTTCTCTGCAAATCATGCTCACCTATGAAAGGTTGCCAGACTGAGGGTATAAAGCAATCACATTTGAAAGTCTTGGCCACATTAAGCATTGATGTGTAGGTGGGGGGTTTCCTTTTTTTCTTTGTCTTTACCCCCACTGCTCACCCTATGTCTATATAACTTGTCATTCACTGATTGTCATCAAGACTGGATTTCACTATTTATGCCAAAATAGGTGAATTTGTTCTTTGCATATGAAAAAGTAATCCTTCATAAAAGGGAAAACATAGTGTACTAAAATGAAATTGCTTACTATAGATAGGTAGCAGAGGTAGCTATAATCTTATATCTTTGAGCATCAACATTAGCCTGTCTCCTTGAACCCACTGATGAAAAACCTTTTCATGCCATTTCAGAAGGGAAAAAAACCTTTATTTTGAGTAATGAGTTAAATTTAGATATATTTGACATTTCTAAAGTATTCTGTGGGATTTGGACCAATGTTTAGCTTTTGATCCTTGCTAGAAGGTTACTGGATAGCATTCACCATTACTTCACTTTTATTGCTTTTGAAAGATAAGTAACTGATATGTCAGTGCTTAAAGGGAAAGCTGATAAATTTGCACCCGTCGTCAGGCAAAAGTAGTCAAAATACCCGCAGTTTTACATGGCTCCACTTCATAGAACAGCTCACTCAAACCCATGGATGGCATTGGCATTTGTTGTAATTTGTGTCTCTTTTCTTCATTCTTATGTGAATGAACATAAAAGGCCTTTGAAGAAACAGGTTAGCAAACAGCACAACAAATTCAAGAGTCAGCCAGGCATGGTAGGGGGTGCTTATACACCACACTTGGGAGACAGAGACAGAGGGCCCAGTTCAAAGTCAGAGCCTCAGTTACCTCCTGAGTTTGAGGCCAGCCTGGGCTGCACAAGACTGTCTGAACAAACAAAAACTAAAGTATGCCCCCCACAAGAAAAAGCAGGTGCGACTCTTTTTTGTCATATTATAAAACTTACTTTGATGGTGGTAATATATTTACTACAAATACATATGCTTTCAAAGTCTGTATAATGTATTTATTTCTAAAAGTCTTAGTTAAATGATGCAACAGATTTTTATAGAAAAAAAATTACTTCCAAAAAGTATCATACATTTATGTGGACAAAGTAGCATAAGGAAACATTTGCTTAGACTTGTATTCATTTTGGAATGAGTACTGTTAAATTACTCTAAGATAACTTTCCTCTTCTGAAACAGGTTTTATATCTCTCTATATTTCATACCCCACATAGTATTGGCAGACTGTTTCTTGATTTGAATTTCCAATTTAATCATCATGAAATACACTTGTATCTGTTTTCCCCAATCCCTTCAGGACTAAGAATAAGCTAAGTATTTTACAAGGTACTGTTGCTCCCTAAACAAAGTGAGGACAGTGCATGTGTTCATGATAAACTCAAATTTTCTATGGCATAAAATCATAGATTCTTTTGCCGTTCTCTGTTTTCAAAACTCTAAGAGTAATTTTTGTTTTTCTTATCATCAAGTTGGTACCTTGTTGGAGAGTGAGCATACAATTATTTTGTAATTAAAGCCCATGGTAGCTAAGGTCTGTTTGCTATCGTGACTCTACTTGATGGGATTCTGCTTCTGGTATCTCCAAACTCTTCATGGGGAGGGAGCAATAAGCCCCTTCTTGCCACTTTATCTTGATTCCTTGGCAAAATGGAAGCTGTCACCCCTTCTTGTAACATTGAGGGGCTCAAAGCTAGGTAGTGTATTTGTTTGTCTGGCAGGAGCGTGGATGGCCATAGAATTCAGTAAGCAATGAAGAGATCCAGTGAGAAGCAAGGAGTCAAAAGCCGTACCTTATTTTGAACTTGTTTTGGGGCTGAGAACTTTCCCTATCTGTCTCACCTGAATCCCTATTTCATCATGTTCTGTTTCGCATCTGTAGGGGCAGTGCCAAGATCTGAGAAAGAGAAAACAACTGGAATTGCAGATCCTTTCAGAACCTATTCAGGCATGGGAAGGAGATGATATTAAGACCCTGGGAAATGTCATCTTTATGTCACAAGTAATGGTGCAGTATGGAACCTGTGAGGTAAGTTCTCAGCATTGCTTCTTTCAGTTTTCATACTTCCCTTCCTTTATTGGTCCTTCTGTCAAGGTGAACTGGGGTAGAGGCAGAGGGAATGGAAAATAATGGGTAACTTTGAGACACATTTAGATGGTAATATCAACAGAATGGGGTGGCTTACGGGATACAGAAAATGACAGATACAGTTTAGACTTGCTAACTAGGTATCTGCATGTAGATGTCCTGTTAATGTACTATGGAAATGAGGATGAGAGGTCAGCATTAAAGAGAGATTTATCTGTCTCTAAAAAATGTACCTTTCTAAGAAGTACATATCCAAAGAGAAGCACAGAGGTGGAAGATGGATTATTTCTTTTAGGAAGAGGCCAGGGTAGGAGAGAAAGGTTGATCATGTCACCTAATATGATTTATTGAGTGTTAGCATTGTGTTAGCCCTCTCAATAAACACCTTCCTATACTCTCTGATGTGCTTGTGGCAGAGATTCATTACTTCGAGTTAATAAGCAATCTTATTGAAAATGCAGATACCCTGGGGAAGGTTAATGCAGTGAGGGTAACTATTAGTCATTCATATCTTTGGGATAAAATCCTTGGGTGAAAGGAGGAAGAACCATCATGGGACTCAATGGGGGACACAAATAGGAAAATAGAATAGAATTGAGGATTGTGGTGTCATTGAAATCCCTGGAGGAATACTAGAAAGTGACCGGCAAGCTGAGTGCTATGGAAGGTTCAGAGGTCGAGGAGTGTGAGGACAAAAAAGAAGCCATTGGCTTTTGCTAGAAGGCAGTTATTGATGACTTTGAGAAAGAGGTGGGGATGCAGTTAGGGAGCAATCAATGGAGAGAAAATGAAGGCAGCGTGTAATTTGGCAATAAAATGTCAAGAAATGAGATATTATGAATGAGTAGTCACACGGGGTGAGAAAGGTTCTGAAGATAGCAATGAGCAGGAGAGGCTGCTGAAGAAGGGCAATGTCTGTGGAAGGAAAACTAGGCAAGAGAAAGATTGGAGAGAATAATGGTTGTTCCAACAGTTAGTTCTGATGGTTTACTCTATTCAAGTGGGAAGAAGAGTGAGGAGATAGCCATGAGGATTATTGTGTCAAATGATTTTTTTTTTGGTTTTTTAAGACAGGGTTTCTCTGTGTAGCCGTGCTGGCTGTCCTGTAACTCGCTCTGTAGAGCAGGTTGGCCTCGAACTCCCAGAGATCCACTTGCCTCTGTCTCAAGATGGATTTTTTTTTTGTATCTACTAATTGTGACTCTGTTAAGGGGATCAGAGCAGCCCTCACATATCAAGTTACTTTAGTGCAATCAAAAACTGTAGTTGACAAAAATGCATTATAATAATCTTAAAAGAGCTGAAAGAGAAAATTTCTTTTCATTTATAAGCAGTTTATACATTTGTTTGTTTGTTTGTGCATGCACATCTGTGTGCCAAAGCACACATGTGGAGGTCAGAAGATACCTGGTAGAGGTTGGTTCTCTCCTTCTACCACATAGGTCCTGGGGATCAAACTCAGGTCTTCAAATCATCTATCAGACTTGCTGTCAGACAAATTTTATCCAGTGAGTCATCTCAGTGGTCCCATAAAGGAATTTTAGTTTGTTTGTCATGAAGAAATGATAAAAGTTTAAGATAGTAGATATGCTAATAACTTGGATTTGGTCATTACACAAAGTATACATGAATTGAAATTCCACATTGTTTCTTATCAATGTGTACAAATATGTTATGTGCCAATCAAAAAATAACCCTATGAAATTGGGCTGAAGATGAAGAGGACAGTGGATTTAGTATACACAAGGCTCTCTGTTGTGTTTCCAATATCATACACAGAGCCCAAATAACCCACACCAATTTTTAAATGTATTGATGTCTTTGTCTTACATGCCATACAGTAACTACCTCTCTCTGTGTAGATGTGTGTGTTGACTTGTCTATATATGTGTATTTTGGGGGAGGCCAGAGGTGACAATAAATGTCGTCCTCTGTTACATTCCAATTTTGTTTCTTATTGATCCTGGAGCTTACCGATTTTTGTCTAGACTGGATCACCGATAAACCCCCTCGATCCACTTGACTATGACCCTGCAGCATTCAGTACTTTAGATGCTTGCTGCTATGCTCTGCAAATATACAATTGCTGGGAATCCTAACCCAGGCCGTCATACTTGAGCAGCAGGTACTTTAGCCACTGGGCCCATAATCCTCCTAGTATTAATGATTAGAAATAATTTAATGACTGGGAATATTAGCAGATGATAAATTTCTTTTTTATTGATAAAAGTTTTCATTTATTTTTCATCCTGATCGCAGTTTCCCCTCCCTCCTCTCCTCCCAGTCCCTCTCCCCAGCCCCCTTTATCCTCCCCCCACTCCTCCTCTGTTCAGAAAGGAGCAGACCTCCCATGGGTGTCAATAAACCATGGCACATCAAATTGAGGCAGGGCCTAGCTCCTCCCCCTGCATCAAGGCTAGACAAGACAACCCAGCATGGGGAATAGGTTCCCAAAAGCCAGCTCAAGTGCCAGGGACAGGTCCTGATCCCACTGCTAGGAGCCTACAAACAGACCAAGCTACACAACTGTCACCCACATGCAGAGGGCCTAGGTTGGCCCGCCGCAGGCTCTTTTGCTGTCAGTCCAGAGTCTGTGAGCTCCCATAAGCTCAGGCCAACTGTAGCAGACCATAAATTTCTTTCTTTTTTTTTTTTTTTTTGGGTTTTTTTTTTTGGTTTTTCGAGACAGGGTTTCTCTGCGTAGCTTTGCGCCTTTCCTGGAGCTCACTTGGTAGCCCAGGCTGGCCTCGAACTCACAGAGATCCGCCTGGCTCTGCCTCCCGAGTGCTGGGATTAAAGGCGTGCGCCACCACCGCCCGGCCATAAATTTCTTATCTGCTAAAAGTTGATTCATTTTGCTACTATTCAAAATAAAGTTATATTTTAGTTTGGGGAACTTTGAGAGACTTACTTTGTGTCTGGAACTAGCATGTCACATTGGTCCAAAATCTGTGTGGGTTCTTACTTTCACAGACTCGGAAATAATGTACATACGTGTTGGCACTTTTGAGTTGGCTATCATTTTACAACTCACTGCCAATGCTAGATCGATGACTATGTAAGGCTTGTATTTTGAAGCAGTGCTTTCAGAAGGTCTTAACAAAAGCAGTTCAATTTCTGTTCTCCCTTTCATGATTTTTATTCTACTTCAGGAAAAAGAAGAACGATATTTCATGCTGTTTTCAAATGTCTTGATAATGTTGTCTGCAAGTCCTCGGATGAGTGGCTTTATCTATCAGGCGAGTAGTTCCATATAACACAAATTAGCAAAGGCCAGATGAAAACAGGCTTCTGCTCACATAGATGCATGATGGCATTGGAAGTCCAAGTCAGCAGAGGCACAATGTTCTAACCCTTCACTATAATGAAACTGCTTGTAAGAACAGATGTTCTTGAGATCAAAGACCTTTGTAGTCATATAATCCTGCCCTGGCTATCTGCTGTTCTGTTTATGAGCTAGGTTTCCAGTTGCATAAATAGAGATCTAAATCTATAATTGGATAAATTAGTAATAACAGTTTACAGACCCATATCGTTACTGCTGAAAACCGCAAAGCTGGGACTTGATCCTGGGATTATCATATTATAGCCATGTTATACTATTTGGGCAGTAAGATGCCAGCCCTTAAATGCCATATGCAATGAAACCTCTCTCAGGCTGTTCCTCAAATGTAGATTATTATGCTATGATTCTCTATGGTCCTGGCCATTACTCCTTTTCATAAAATGTGAGCCTTTGCTTTTCAATTCATATGAAAATACATCAGAAACGCAACTGTTTTGTAAATCATGAGCTTAGGGTTTGAGATGTATTAGCCAAATACACATTTCTCCCTTGCTTTCTTGTCTAATTAAAATCTAGACTAGGGAAGCATTATATATTTTTAGACTAGTTAAATATGTGACTTCAGTGAGGATCAAAAGTAGGAGAGAAATATGTGCAATCATAGAATTAATAAGAATGTTCTTTTCTCTGCTAGGGAAAAATACCACTAGCGGGGATGGTGGTGGCTAGATTAGATGAAATTGAAGGGAATGAGCACGCATTTGAAATCACAGGTAGGTCATTTTCTCCTTTTCATGGGGCTGCTTCAAATCCTTTTTGGAATAAAGTGGCATTTAAATAAGTAAATGCTATTACTTCCTCCTGTATAGTCAGGCCATAAGCAGGTTTTCCAGGGATATGGCACAGCCCATTCCATCTCCAGGACAACTAGAGTAGACTGCTAAAGCAGTGAAGCTCGCTTGTCAGTTAATAGCCTCGGCTTCGCCATTACTTTCCATCTTCTCCTGTAAGAGCCAGAGAATAACAAAATGGACTGACCTTCTCTGTCATGTGGTCTGTGGTGGCCAAGAAGCCAAAGGTGTGGACTTTTGTCACCTATCTTATCAGCCTATAAACTAGCAAGGCATGGTTTTGTTCTAAGAAGCCAGAAAGCTTTCTATACAAATTGAGCCCAATCTTCATAATTCTCCCTGACAGTTTAGGCTGCTGTCCCCTTTGCTGGGGCCTCTGTGAGTGACTTGTAATGGCTGTACTGCTACATGGAAGACACAGTGGTGAAGACAGTGTTAATGTCCCTAGACCTTATCAAACCCCGTACTCACCAATAAGGAGCCCAAGATTTGGTATTTGCCTAAAGATTTTTCATCTGGTTTTAATTACGTGTTGTTCCACCTTGGACACTGGGCAAACCAATATTCTTACAATATTCTTAGATTGTGCTATGGACTAGATGGCCAGTTAGTACAGGTAAGGTTTTAGATTACAAGTGTGTTTATTGTGAGGTTTTACTCTATGTCTAAGATTCTGCAAAGTGGTGCAAATCAAGGGCATTATTAGAAATAAAAAAGACTAATCATTTTATCACAACTTCTCTGTTCCTAATGTTAAAGTTTGAAAGGGTTATTTCATGGAGAGGAAGATGCCTGAAAATAGATGCCCAACTGGAGAGTGTTTGTGAGTAAGACAGATCCTTGCATTTTCTTCCTAAATGTTCCTAATTGCGTTATACAGGTAATGTGGTAGAGAGAACTGTGGTCTATTGCAACAATAGCCAGGACTTCCAGGAATGGCTGGAGCAGCTGAACAGATTGACCAGAGGACCAGCCTCTTGCAGTTCATTATCTAAGACCTCATCATCATCATGTAGTGCTCATTCTGTAAGTATTTCATTGGGATTACTGAAGCATTGGGATTATTGAAGTATTGGGATTACTGAAGTATTAGGATTGTTGAAGTATTGGGATTACTGAAGTATTGGGATTGTTGAAGTTTTTGTCAGACTCTGCCTGCTAAAGACTTCTGAAAATCAGCAGCAAGCATGCCCTTTGACTTTGGGTGGTCTCTGTAGATTTTGAAGTACAGTTAAACCTCACTAATTCTGATTTCTCATCATTGTGAAGCCCATTGAAATTAGTAAAACATTTCAGTTAAATATGTGTGATTTTGGTCAGCAGTCTTAATGTACTCCCGCTAACTGCTAATCAAGTGTTTCCCACCAGAGGACCTTCTAAGAGATTTTAATGATCAACAAGACTTATTTGTTTCATAACTGTTATTCTCACCTTAATCATATGCTAAGTCAAAGCAAGTAGTTCACTTCTCTGAATGCTTAAACATCTTCATGTAATCTCATTCATGCTTTCACATCTGCTCAGTAACATTCATGAAAGGTAAATGTTTAGCATCGTCATCTGAGTTCTCAGAAATCTAGAATTTGTGGAGTTGGAATCAATGAGATTTTACTGTACTTGCTGGGTGAAATGGAAGCTTTCCTCTGTTGTCTGTTAACGCTCAAACCTGCAATGCCAGTAGCCCTATTTTGAGTGCTGTGTTGTGGTGGTGGAACACAGGCTTTGGCATCCAATCTGGGTTTAAATCTTGTCTTTGCCAGTTTCTAGCCAGTCACTTCACTTCTCTGAGTCTGTTGTTGTTTACTCTGATGAAGGAGCCCACTTAAGAATCTAATTGAGTACGAAACACATTACTGAAACTCCAATGGTTTCTGCTGTTCCACTTTCCTCCCTTACAGAGGAAACATTTCTGCCTTAAATGGAATTGCAAAAAAGAGGACAGGATCATGGAACACTGAGTCCATTTTGTGCTGTTACCTAGAGACCCCATAACCTTGTTTAGAAACTGTTAGTTTTCCCACTGGACACTCACGATTCCATCTTCCCCCTTTCTTGTCGGGCTTTGCTGATCCAATGAAGCTATTGTCATTCTCTCACTGTGTGGTACCAGGTCGGGTTCAGATGGCAGATTGCCAGCATCTCATGAGACATTTTCCCAGTCTTTTAGCTCTACTGGACAGCCCCGAGGACCCTTGGAGCCTCCTCAAATTATAAAACCGTGGAGTTTAAGTTGCCTACGACCTGCACCTCCACTTAGACCATCAGCAGCACTAGGTTATAAAGAGGTAATTTTGCTACATATGGTATAAAATGCTTCTGACAGCTAATTTTGGAGCTTATTGCACATAGTACAGTGAGAATATGCTAGAATTTGTGATAGGATACATATATGTATATATGTATGTATATGTATATATACATATATATATATATATATCAGTTCTGAATTGCTAGATTCAGAGATTGTTTCTTAAGTTTCCATTTCCCTGTTCTCCATCTACAGACATTGATGGAACTGAACAGTTCAAGTGCACTGCCTGTTTCCCTAGTCTATTCCTTAAGTGCCTCTGTTGTCTCTCTACACGGTGACACTAATTCTTTACATTAGTTAACTATGTACACACATCTCAAACAAGAAACACTTCATTGAAAGCTGCATTTCCAATCAAACTCTGCATTGTGTAGCATGTTGATCAATGAAACCCAATGAGATTGAGTCATGTGTCTCAACTATGAAATCACTGTTTGCCATAGTGAGGAGAGAAGAATATAATGAAAGAAATGTCTTTTTACAGACAGACTTCTCAGTAGCAGCACAGGGTATTTGATATTTGCCTAGTGTGCTGCCAAGATGTACCGTGACCAGAGTGTCTGGTCCTTTGCTTTAGAAGTGCACTCAAGGCACATCAGTCACTACCCCCATAACTACATAAGTGTTACCTTTCTACCCAGTGAGGTTTTCCCCCTCTTACTTATTTCTAATTATTTCATATTTCAGGAAAGATGCTCATTTATTAATAACTGCTCTTAAGGTCTTGTTGTATGAAGAGTAAGTTGCTGACAGTTATGAAATGAACCTTACAGTTTTGATGTAAAGGCCACATAGAATTCTGTCCCATGTGTTTTGATCCTGGAGACTTTGCTCGGATTGGAGTGTATTTTGATTTGAGCAACCATGCTTCTGCTCCAATTAATTGTTGTCTCCATCGCTCAGTGCAATGAAATAGTACAATATATAGATACTGCAGGATTTTTTTTAACCCTTTCAACTGACATGATAGGAGACATGACTCGAGCATTTTTTTTTCAAGTTAACTCTATTCAGAATTTAGGCAGGAAGTGGTCCCACAGATTTGCTTTGAAACTGACCTGCGACCATTCACCTTTCTTTGATTACTTAAACCAGGAGTGCCACTTCATAGTAACCTAGTCCCCTTTTTAATAGTGGACATTTTGCAACTGTCAGTTACTAAATTCATACTAAGGTGAGCTCTGAAGGGTAAAGTTGACTTAATCCTTCACATAACTAATCTATTAAAAACTAAGGCATGATCTCTTTGTTTCTGCTGGGGGAAGAGAGTTATTAATATATTCTTGCTATGTGCTGTGCATTTCGGTGATTTCTCAGCATTTGTAATTCTGCACAGAACTGGTTTCTTTGGACTTTTGCATGAAGATATTGCATCTGAAACTAATGTGGGAAATGTGATGATATTCTCTCCATGTAATTTATGATAACACTAACATTTCGAATGTTGTTTTAGAATTATTGATAAATGGATTTGGTCATTATAACCATCGACCTCTCACGCTCATCTTCTCTTTCTTTACATATTCATTTTAGAGGATGTCTTATATCTTAAAGGTAAGGGTAGAACAGTGACATCTTAATGTTGTTGTGCTGTAACCTTTGATGAATGAAGCTTTCCTTTATGCTTGTTTTGTCCCTTGCTATAATTGGTGGCTAAAATGTGAAGATGCAATTCTGACATGTAAGTACTTTCTTCAAAAGCAGGCTTGTGTTTGATACATGTAAAATGTCACTTTATATATCACGCCTTTAAAATGCTCATTTTTCTATGTTTTTAATGCTAGCTTTTCCTCTTTTTTTTAAAGCACGTGTGGTTTTTCATGTTTGTCTCTTTTCAAGTCTAAGTGGACCATTGTGGCTAAGTGAATGCAATTCAATTATTGGTTTCATATATATTAAAGTACTAATTATTATTCATGTATTAGATAGGTAGATAGGTAGGTACATACATACATTCATATATATGTACATAGATGATGGACAATATGTAATATCAAGATAATATCTTGGGATTGTAAGTATAAGATTATGAGTCCAATCTGTTTACTTTCATATTAACATTGATCTGTTTTTTTTAATTATTAGTTATACATATGGCAAAACCCAAATTCACTAGTTTTCATCTCCATTGTTACTAATTAAAAGTGTGGCTTTGGCTGTATATAACCCAAAGTTATTTATCAGGAAACCCTTCACAAAATTCTCCTCTCTGAGAAAATAACTCAGTCTGGCCACCTTAATTTTCCCATTTAACTGCTAGGAGTTATAGTTTTCTTTGTGGGACTGCTTTTAAACAAAATTTACTCAAATAGTTTTAAACTCTGATACAAGGTATAACTGTTCTAGCAGCAGTTACATTGTTTACTTAATTCCCTTCAAACTCTCCGTGGGGAACATCAGCCAAGTTAGGAATGCTGGTACCCTTCTGAGGTTGAAATCTCATCACTCTTGCTGCAGATGGTACCCTAAAGGCACTGGCCCTCCTGCACACTCTGCATCTTTCTTCATTCTTCTTCTCGTTCCTGTGGCAACTGAGAGTGGACTGTCATTGCCTATGCTTTGTTGAACCTTTCCAAGTTAATTGAAGCCATTTTATTATGTGTAATCGAAAATTCTGACACTTTCCTAACGGATGCTATCACGATGAGAGATGCATTCGGATTCATTTTATTGGCTCTATTTTCACTTGTATTTGGGAGAGAACGTTAATTCATGGAGAAACCGTTATCCTTACAGGAATCTAGTAAGAGCCCCAAAACAATGAAGAAGTTTCTTCACAAAAGAAAGACGGAGAGAAAAGCATCTGAGGAAGAATACGTGATTAGGAAAAGTATGTTTTGTACTTTTGCCAACTTATTTACGGGTGAACTAACAGGAGACTTTTTTTAAAGCAGATACTTAGAGCAGTTTGTTCTTGGCATCATCTGTTGTAAAAATACATGGAAAATTTGGTCACTTGTAAGACTTCTGAATAAGCTGTCCCCTGCTGCACTTCCTGCCGACTCTGACAAACGTCAGTCTGTGTCATTTTCATGCTGCAGAACACTGTACCCCACCTGGTTTCCATTCCCCAGTGGGGCCCATTTGCTATGGACACATTTTTCCCCTCTAGGTTTCTGATGCCTGGGATATTCTTCTGAACAAGTAGACTAAATGGACTTGAGGACAGAAATCCTTCTGGCTCTCTAATGCTCAAAGATGCTCTCAGTTGGCGAAGGAGTCAGTCTGCTGACATCTGGAAAGAGCGCTTTATCTAGAGGACTGATAAAGTCAGTTAGTCAACTGATATGCTTGTATTTGGCTCTAAAATTGTGAACAAGGAGTCAGTGTTGCAGCAGCACTGCCTGTACCAGTTGCAAGTCTAGCTTAGATGAATCTCTGCTGTGGCTAGGGACATAGTTCAGTTCATTGAGTACTTGCCTAGCAAGCACAGAGCCCAAAATTTGATCCCTAGCACTACATAAACCAGGCATGGGTAGTATGTGCCTGTAAACCCTTGGAAGGTGGAGGTTCGGAGAATCCCAACTTCAAGTTTATCCTCAGCTATATAACAAGTTAGAGGTCAGCCTGGGTTACACAAGACCCTGTCATATTATAATAATATAATATTATAATAAAAATAATATAATGTTATATACAAAGTAAATCTTTGCTGAAATCCAGCTCCTGCAAACCCATCCCCACCCACAACTAAAGTTATTAGTGCAACATTGTCATCTGAGCATTTAAAGACTGAGTTGGGTGGGAGAGACTCAATGATATACTGGCTGGTTGAGAAGATGGGTGGGGTTAATAGGGAAAAGCTCTTAAAGAAGGTAAGCCTTGACATTTAATTACCAGGAAGACTTTGGTGTTCTGGGTGAGTGCTGAAGCCAACACCAAAGCCATGATTTTAGCCTTCAAGAGATGACTAACAGAACCCCCACTAATTTAGAGTTCTGAACTTCAGGAGCAGCCTCCTCCCCTGAGTACTGACCCAGAGCTCTCCCAGTGACACTGTTGGTGTCACTCTTTTGTCTCATGAGGCTTGAACAAATTTCTGCCTGCCTTTCAGAAACACTGCGAATCCTTGGCAGTGATGGGCACAGCATCATGTTGAGTGTCCAGGGTCATATATCTATGAGAAGTCATTACTGATTAAATTCGGCAGGTACAGCTGCTCTGGAAGAGGATGCTCAGATTCTTAAGGTGATCGAAGCCTACTGCACCAGCGCCAGTTTTCAACAAGGTAATGGCTCCAGTAGAATTCCCCATATTGCATGCACTAATGAATGGGGTTTGTTCTTTGCTGCTCACCGTCTCTTAGGGGGAATAAAAGAGCATCAGTGCAGATCAGTTGCAGGCTGTGGAAAGCATGAGACTCAGTGCAGAGCAGAGGCGCAGGACTGAACCTTTCAGATAAGGCTCTTTCAGCTACTAGGTGCTTTGTTTACGCACCGTTTCTTTTGACCCAGAGAGACAATGATATGCAAGAGGGAAGAAGTTGGAGGCGATAGAAACGAAAAGGATTTTTAAAAAGTCACTTTCTTTTGATCTACTCAGATACCTTCACCAGCACTAGTTAGGAATTAAAGAGCCCAGAGAGTTCCTGTGTCTGCAAACTGATGCTAATCTCATCTTATAGGCAGAATTGGAAAGGAAGTCAAAATACTATCTTTCATCAGCTATGTATTGAAGTGAACAATGCTTCACCAGGCTTAGGTTTCAAAGGTGCTCTAAAAAATCTAGAAATGTAGTTGCACAGCTAAGGCTCTTCAAAATGAACAAAATGTCTCAAGGAGCTGTTAGGTGGTGGCATTTCCCTAAACAGCTTTTCACTCTGAAAGCTGGGTGATGCCTTCTAGTGAGTGAGTCCTTGTGCTTTTTCCAGTCCAAGTCACATAGATTATATATTTTGTTTCCTATCATCATATACATATAGGACACCCTTTAGAAAGTTTCCCATATCTGCATCAGGACCAAATGTCCTAGCGTGCTATATTTTTCACAGCTATTGACCAGCTGCTTACTTGGTATGAGAGGCGTTTCTTAGGAGACTACCTTGACACACTCTTTGAAGGTAGCACATCTCACAGGCTGTCACAAGAGGAGAGCATTTGACATGGAAATCAATACATTTCACCATGAACAGGGACACTGCACCACAGACGTAGTCTGGCTATAGCTTCTGGCATGCTTGGTCCTAATAGAAAGATTTTATGAGCTGGGAGAGGAAAGAGAGAAGTTTTTATTGTGAAAGCTAGGATGGAAGTGGGAATGAGGAGACACTGTAAGAGCATCCCTCATACAAAATCCAGCCATACCTTACCTCTGTACCATTTGTTTTCCTAGATGTAGAGCCCATTCAAGTAATTAGAGGTGAAAGCTCAGGCATGTAACTGGCCTAAAGAGGCACAGTTTTGTTCCTACCCTCCCTTGTACATGTGGGAAGTATTGAATGCCAACATTTCAGCATCACAGTGGCCCTCTATTTCATCCCAGTCAAATATCCTGTTTCCCTAGAACTGACTGCTCTTGGCTTTCTGTATTCATTCATTCATCCATCCATTTCTCTTCTGCATACTAATTCAATACTTATGAAGAGCTAGTCACTGAACATTGAAGCATCTCACCTCTGGGAGAGATCAAATAAAAGCAGTGAATGCATACACCTCTGAAGGATGTTGTTCTAAAACAGAACAGGCCCAGTGACCCAGGCAGACCGAAGACGAATTCCTTGAGCCCAGAGAGGAAGGCTCTAGACTGAGCTGTGGAGAAGTTGAAACTACCTGTCACCTCCTCTGCCCCAGGCTGTCGAGACAGTGTGGGCAGAGAGCAATGAAGATACTTGCGTTTTGTTGCTGAGATGATAATCTCCCATCTCCACTGTACCCATGGCCAAAAATAGCTTGAAGTCACTCCATATTTCCCTAGAGGACTTCAAAAAGAATGAATGGTGCTTCTGAAGCCCTTTTAGCATGTTGTAGCCCAGGGTAGTGCTACTCTCAGCCCAATCTTTACTGAAATAAAGAATACCGATCATGGGATGTGGTGTGTGAGTCCTGGAGGAAGGCAGAGACAGGGTGACCACTGGTCAGTTCTTTTGCTCTAGGGGGGTCTTAGCACATCATTTCCCCCACCTTGAAGATCAAATGACATCATTTGGCCATTTAGAGTTCTCTCTGTCAGGAAAATTGAAGAGTGGCATAATTTTCCTCTGAGTGCGGGGGTGTGAAGAAAGCTGCTGCTCTAACCTCAGTGGAACGCACTAGGACCCGACAGCCTCTCTGGCCGTTTTCACTTACAGGTACTCGGAAGGATTCTGTACCGCAAGTTCTACTCCCTGAGGAAGAGAAACTCATTATTGAAGAAACCAGAAGTAACGGGCAGACCATCATTGAAGAAAAGTGAGTAGAGAAAGTGACCCCTTTCTTTCTTCCTTCCTTCCTTCCTTCCTTCCTTCCTTCCTTCCTTCCTTCCTTCCTTCCTTTCTTTCTTTCTTTCTTTCTTTCTTTCTTTCTTTCTTTCAAACCTACGTGTGTTTATTAGTGTTGGAGAGGTTTTGCTTATTGTTTTTTAGTAACCCTTTCTTAACATGTCTGGGGCCTGAAAGGAGGTATGGCAGTTTGTCTTAGAGCGTCTGTTGCTGTGATCAAACACCAGAACCAGAACAACTTGGACAAGAGAAGTGGTTCTTTCAGCTTACAAGTCTCAGGTCACACTCCATCAGTGAGGGAAGTCAGGGCAGGAACTCACACAGAGCAGAATTCTGGAGGCAGGAGCTGGTGAGGAGGCCATGGAGGAACGCTGCTTATTGGCTTGCTCCTCAAAGCTTGCTCAGACTGATTTCTTATAGAACCTAGGACCACCAGCCCACAGATAGCCACACCCACCATGGGCTAGGCCTTTCCACATTGCACAATAATTAAGAAAAATGCCCTACAGACTTGTCCACAGGCCAGTCTGGTGGGGACATCTCCTCAGTTGAAGCTTCCTCTTCCAAAACGCCTACAGCTATGCCAAGCTGACATAAAACTAGCCAGCACACAAGTCCTTCCTTGAAGGGCCCCTCCTTCTCTTCCCTCTCCATTCTCCTTCTTCCTTCTCATCCTCATCCTTCTCTTCCCCTTTCTCCACAAAAAGGGCCTTCTCTCTTGAGCATATAGTTGGGAGCCCCAAGAGGGCAGGAAGAAGGGTGACAGAAGCCGAGGGCTAGAAGCCTTCTGCTCCCCTGTGGAGGAAGCAGCTTCCCAGCACCAGAGATCTCCACATAGTGTGTCCGGAGTTATCCGGGAAGACCTTAACACGCATCTACCTGCCCACAGCATTGCTACTCACATCTTTTCAGTCAGGAGCCGCTTTTCTCATAGTTGACCTCTTGTAAAGTTCTAAAGTAATCTGGTGGGAAAAGCATCACTTTCAAAGATGAAGAAAATAAGTTTCTGGGAAACCATGCCTATGGCCTACCTTTCACAGTTGTGAGTATGACTTACATGGGGTGGGGTCAGGTTAAATACCTTCAAGCTCATAAAGAAGCATGGAGTAGCCAAGAAACTCACTCCTTTATACTTGAGTCATTTTGGAAGTCAGGCCTGAATTTGCATAGGTCAGCACCTCTCACAGTGCTTGGCACTGTGGATGTGTTTTCACACCTGCTGTATAGTAAAGCACTTAGGCTCAAGAGAACAGACCAAAGTCCCAGTTCTGCTCTCAATTTGCTATGTATTGCCAGTGTCATCCTGGGCTAGTTCTTCCATCTCTCCAGATTTGCTTTCATCATCTGCAAAATGGGAATGATAGAAATATTTTCTGAGCTGTTATGTGATCAAATATAGTAATTATAAAGGTTAGCACTCAAAAATTACTAGCAGGTATACTAATTTTTGTTATTAAGAACATTATTATTGGTATAGTAATCACAATAGCCATGGGAAGGCTTCAAGGAATGTAGTATTATCTCTATTTTACATGTAAAGAAAGCAGTGGCCAAGACGAGAAGGAAACTGAAGAAGGGCAGAGTAATAGTAAGTGGAAGGATCAAAAGTAAAACCTAGGGCCTGAAGAGATGGCTCAGCAGTTATGAGCACCAGCTGATCTTTCAGAGGACCCAGTTTAGTTCACAAGACTTATGTTGAGCAGCTCACAACTGCTTGTAACTCCAGCTCCAGGAAATCTGGCACCCTCTTCTGTCCTCCTTGAGTACCTGCACTCATGTGCACATAAACATGCACATCAATAATAAAAATTAAACTTAAAATATCCCCAACTAAAACCTAGATTTGTAAATTCCTTGACTAGAAATAGTTGGGGGACAAAGAATTCCATAACTATCCAGGGAACTTTGCCATTTAAAAAATTTATTATTTTTAACGTCTTGATTCTCTGTCGTGTGAGGTTAGCTAAATGGGAAGGGTAACACCATGACATGGCTATTGTAGTATACACAAGCTCTTGTGATACCTCTCATTATATAGTAAGTAATATTTACTCCTACTCTAAAGCTACAGCAGTCAAACCTGAAGATGGGAATCTTAAAAAAATTGAACTCACAGGAGCAGAGGATAGAACAATGGCTTCCAGAGGCTTGGAGGGGGGTAGAAAAAATAGGTGATGTTGGTTAAAAAAAAAAAAACTCCACAAAGTTCAATTCTATAAGATGATAAATAGGTTTTAGTCTATCTAATAAGCAGTGGAATGACTAAAGTTAATAATAATGTCTTTTATTCTTGACATTTACTAAGAGCATAGACCTTCTCAAAAGACACAGACACTCACAAATAGATACAACTACATCTTATGATGGCTGTGTTAATAGTTTCATTTGGGGGCGTCATTTCATAAGACAAACACACCAAAGCATCATGTTGTATACTCTAAATATATACAGTTTTTATTTGTCAGGTATATCCTCAAAGACAAATTTTATGGCCACTATCTGTTGTTTTCTGGTTACTCAAGCTGGAATTGATTGGAGAAGGAAATGGATAGTGTAGAAATGGTGGTCTAACATGGTTTTGAAGTGGGCATGTGTGGTGAGTTTTTCTCCTATGAAGAGAGAGAATGTGGACCACTCAGAGCAGGGATATTCTCCATCAGCTAGAAACCCCACTGATTTCCATATCTGTATTTATAGAGAGAGTTATGTGTTGCTTATTTATCAGCACTTCAGTGCCAGCAATTCATTTCTGAATTTTCTCTGTATGTTTCAGGAGCCTTGTTGATACTGTTTATGCCTTGAAGGATGAGGTCAAAGAACTGAAGCAGGTAACGCATTGTCAAAGTTATCTTCTCAGGTAACAGAATTGCTCTGTCTTCTTGGCCACCAGCTGGAAGCTGGTGTCAGGTCGAGTCCAGGAGCAAGGTACTGGGGGAGAATTTGCGTTTTCTTTGTGTTACCAGGTGGTAACATTTCTTTAATCATGTGGCCTTGAATTTCTGAGGCTTACTATTTAGATGTATGCAGCAGAGTCCCAAGCATAGATACTACCTTCTCATTCCCTCACATCTTAAAAAATGTAAGCAAGCCCAGGTGTGGGAGTGCCTGCCTGTAATCCTAGCCACTAGGAAGGTTGAGGCAAGGAGATCATGGACTTGCTAGTCTGGGCTGTATAGCAAGGTCTTGTCATGGAAACAAAGAAAGGAAGGGAATAATGAAGGTGAGATGGAAGGAGAGAAAAGAGAACTGTCTTTGGTGGTTTGTGAATTTATTGGTGATGTGATCGATCCTTCGCTCTGTGATATGCACTCTACCTATGTGATGACTCTGATTGTACCTTGTGACAAGGAGGAGGATAAGGAAGAGGAGAGTCAAGAGCTTGGAGGAGCACTTGTGTAATTCTTAGCAAATTCTGGATGGGGCATGGTGAAGTCCTGAACTGAGCCATTAGGAGTAGAGCAAGTGTAAAGAGACATGATACAGTTGGGATTTACAGCATATGATGGCACCATGCTGGGATTAAGAGACAACAGACAGTAGAGAAGCTTCTCCCCTGGAGATCTAATTTGATACAGATTCAGAAGCCCTGGAAGAGGTTTGGGGTGATGGGGGAGGTGATACTAAGTTCCCTTTAGAACATAGTAAGTTTAAAGTGCTTATCATCTTTCTAAATTGACCTGCCTCACTGGCATTGTCCTGTGAGTTTGGTACTCAGAAGGTGAAGCTGGCACCAGAGATATTTGGGAAGCCTTTTAATGCACACTTGCATTGATAGAGAAGTGACCTTAAACAAAAGGGTTTGGAACCAGGGCAGATTCCGTCTTAGGGAGAACTTGCATCTAAGTGAAGGGTGTAGGAGGCTGCTCACACACAGGCAGAAAATCAAGACACAGCCTAGGCTCAGAATATGTAGTCAGAGTCAAGGATGCCGTGAGGAGGAGGAGGAGGAGGAGGAGGAGGAGGAGGAGGAGGAGGAGGAACCTGGGAAAGTCTGCCTTGGCTCAGTGATCAACATTTCTTTTCCCTTCTAGGAGAATAAGAGAATGAAGCAATGCCTGGAAGAAGAATTGAAGTCGAGGAAGGACCTAGAAAAACTGGTCCGGAAGCTGTTGAAGCAAACAGATGAGTGCATTCGAGCTGAATCCAGCAGCAAGAGCCCCATCCTCCCATAACCATCACTGTGCCGTTGAGCACTGAGCACAGGGCCTTCAGCACTTGCTGAGTTGGCCAGCTGAATGATTTGACTGTGCACTTCAGCTTTTGCTGTGTTGGGATCTTTCTTTCTTTTCTCTCTCTCTCTCTCTCTCTCTCTCTCTCTCTCTCTCTCTCTCTCTCTCTCCTGCCCACCTCTGTTTGCTTGAGTGTTTGTTACTTGGTTATCAATTGATTGATATTTGTCTTAACAGGGGAAACAGCCTGGGGTGGTGATAAAATGGCCCCAATATTTTGCTATGCCCAACAGCCCTTCACTACCTAATTTGCTGAAGACAAAGCTTCTCAGGCTATGTCTAGAGTAGGTGAAAATGGACACCTTTGCCCTTTCCTGGACTCTCACATGGCCCCCTCAATCCTTTACAAATGATTTCCCTGTGTTGTCTGTAAAGACCAAGAGCAGTGTCGTGCCCTGCTTCCTTTTGTGCTGGTGTCCATTTCAAGTCAGCGGAGTTGGAACTCCAACTGTCCATACCAGCACCAAGTCCATCAGCAAACTGCTTCAGGCAATCCCCCTCAGCAGCAGGGCAAAGCAGCTATTCCTAGTGCACTGTAGCTTGACAGCCCAGCCTTCTGCCTCTGTGTGAGTTTTCTACCTCCCCCTCCCCCACGCTTTTAACCAGCCATAGCAAGGGGTGTGTGAACTAGTGTGGATGTGCTTCGCTTATTTTGTCAGTTACTACGAGCAGTGACTTTCCCTTGAATATTCAAACTACAGCCTTTTCATCTGTCTAAACAACCTGGGGGACAAGATCCCGTGCCCTAGTATACGCTTTCCATCCCATCTCATCAAGCTCTGGTTTGTGCAGTGAGCAATTGGAATCATCATTGGTCTCTTTGGAGTAGGCCTTGAATATGATGAACCAGTTTGTATATCCTGAGTGAAAGGGCCCCTCTACTAGCTGTTCTGCTTTCTAGTGATGCTGATTGTCTGAAACTAGATTGCACAAGTTGTTTATAATGTCAAACTATTGACCCTGTAAGGAGTTGAGAAATCTGAACTGTGAGAAAGCAGATTTAGAAGAGAGCCCCAGGAGAACACTGTACGCCTAAATTCAACACAAGTCAAAATGGACCAAGGCTGCAGGATGGAGCAGCGCAGCTCCTGCCTACCTCCTCAGATGACAGGGCAATTGGGCCAGATGGCAAAGTCGCTTTAAAGAGAGACAGAAAACGAATGAAGTCTATATGTATATTTGATGGGTGCCCTGTAAGTGCTGGTTCAAAACCAAACCTGAGTCCTGAAATCTTGTTGAGGAGCCCTTTTGCTTTCTGGTATGGAAGCTCTCACAGTTTCCATAATTTCATGGTACAGGGCTATTGTCTCCTGCTACATGGATGACATTATAGCACCCACAGAAAATGGAGAATTCCTGAAGTCCAACCCCAGACAATTGCACAAAGCCATCCTGGCAGCTTTAGTGATGGTTTCTGAGAATGGCTGTCCCGTTTCTATGAGACATCTTTCATGTAAAAATTTAAAATAAGAAACAACAATAGCAACCCAGATGTTCACATGTGTCCTGCCTGTGCTTAGTCAATAGTTTGCAATAAATGCAAATTTTACACTTTAGTGATTACCAAATAATTTAGTTGATTACTTAGGACATTGAAAGGTCTCTAAAAGGATGTGTACATATGCATGTTTGGGGACTTTGCCCTTCTGAGGAGAGGCCCTTGGTACTTGGGATAATGAAACTCGTGCAGTGGGCTGCCCTCGCTTACACACTAAATAGTATAAAGGAAATGAAGCCATGTTAACCCGACAGCCGTGTCTCCATAGTTATGTTGTTTACAGTGCTCTACAAATGGGTTCCTGTTCCTCTGTAATTAAACTGCTGCCCTTAGAGGCCTTTCAGTTTCTTCTCTGTCTTGTCCCTTCTTACAGGAACTCAAATTTTCTAAACTTGTTTTTATTTTAAAGACTTTTAAAATGGACATTTTCAATAAACAAGAATAAACAGTGCTTTATAAATAAGATCATTTGTTTATTTTTTCTACTGATTGATGTTCAGGAAGTTATCTTTTTAAGTGTCATTTTATTTCAGCTGACAAATACGAATTGCATGTTGGTGACAACAGTGTGAGCTTTCAATCCATACATATATCATGCTATCTATGGTCATAGGCTAATATAACATATCATTTATTACCTCAAATATTACCATATCTATAGTGAGAACATTTAAAAATCCTTGCTTTTAACTCTTTTGAAATATACAAATAGTATTAACTATAGTCACTGTATTGTGCACAGATGAATTCTTCATATTCCACTGAAACTTTGTCTTCCTTGATCAAAATAATGCCCTCTCTCTTTCCACACCCAGGCCCTAGTTAAACCCTATTTTACCCCTACTTCTATGTGTTTATGTTTTTATATTCCACATATGAAAACTGAGATGTGCAGTATTAACCTTTATAAATATAAAGCCTGGCTTATTTCATCTGGCACAATGCCCTCCAGGTTCATTAATACTGTTACAGATTAGTTTCTTCTTTTTTGAAGGCAAAGTAGTATTCCATTGTGTGTATATCTACCACATTTTTATCCATCTACCCATTCACAAATTCTTACCTTAATTATATATATATATATGTATATATATATATGTGTGTGTGTATATATACATATATATATGTATATATACACACACACACACACACACATATATATATATCGATCTATCTAACATCTATCTATCTATTTTGAGGCAAGATCTCATGGTGTAGCCATGGGTAGGTAGCCTGAAACTCACTATACCAGGCTGGCCTTCAGCTCACAGAGATCTATTTGCCTCTGGCTCCCAAGTGCTGGGATTAAAGGGTGCACAGCACCATGCCCAGCTGTAGGTTATTCTAGATCTGGACTAAGTGAATAGTATTGCAATGGACATGGGAATGCAGATATATGTCTTCAACATACTGATTTTGTTTCTTTCAGAAATGGTGCAGAGTAGGTTGAGGTTGGAAACTTTAGCTAGTCCGTTTGCATCAGCCTTCCCCCACCCCACCTTTTCTACTTAAGGTTCTATTTCATAGTGTGGTCATCCCTGTAAAGTAGGGAGCAAATATCATCTGCTGGTGACATAGAACTGCCCTTCACTTCTCTTTCATCTTCTGGGTCTCAACTTACAAACCACTTGAAGTGCATCTCACAGTTTCCCTTCCAACATTAAGAAAGATACATTCATTTTCCTAAACAGGTACTCATTCCTCTTTGTATTTTACAACAGTTTGTCGATCTGGGATGTTTTCAATTGCGATGTCTGGTGTCAGCAGTCAGGATGAGAAGTATTTGAGCTGTGGGCCAGGGGTAGAACTCAGTTGATGAAGTGCTTGTCACAAAAGCAGGAGACTCTGAGCTAGATCACCAGAACGCATGTAAAAGTGGGGGTGTGGTGGCACGCACCCATAACCCCAGAACTAAAATGGCAAAGACAGGTAGATTCTTGGGGTTCACTGGCCAGCCAGTCTAGCCTGGTCACTGAGTTCCAGGTCAGTGAGAGACTATCTCCAAAACTAAGGTGGGGCTGGCGAGATGGCTAAGCGAGTGCCTGCTGTGAAAGCTTAGTGACGTGACCTCAATCCCTGGAACACGCGTAAAGCTGAAGCAACTGCACAAAGTTGTCCTCTGACCGCTCCATACATGGGATGCTGCATGTGCATGCCCTACCCATCATAAATATGCACACATCATCATAATAAAATAAAGTTAAAACAATCCAAAAGGCGGATGAGTCCTGTGCAACGATACCTGATGTTGACCTATGCCCTCTACACACAGAGGGAGGGAGGAGAGGAGATAGATTGAACTGGATATTGTTTGCTGCTCCACACTGTCTGTTCTTATCCTCATGCTTCCCCTGAAACACAAAGGCAAACATTTTTTCCAAAATCTTGCAGCAAGGGTTTCGGATACAATGAGGGTTCACATACATTTCCAGTTATGCTAAGAAGATGGGGGTGTATAATTTAGACGAAGTCTGTCTTCTGGTTTTCTGCAGGAAGTTCCCAACATACTGTGGTGTCTGTAGTCCCCACTGTAGTGTCTCTGCTCAATCTTTGTGGGGGACACTGTAGCAGTAACAGTGCCAGACCATGGTTGTAGCAGCAGCTTCCTAACATTTGGGTCACAACTGCCATGGAATGACTTTGAAGCCATTAGTTCACCAGATTGGAACTGCCTCTCACTTCTATGACCCCACATTTCTACAGATACCAAATTCACTTTCTGCTTCAGCTGCCTGACTGGTTCTTTCTTGCTTTGGACAGTTACATTTAACCTTGTGCCTCCCACATACTAAGTACTGTATTAAATGGTTCACATATTTAGGTTCATGCAAACCTCAAATGACCCTATCAGGGCTTTCTTGCTGTTATCTCCATCTTACAGATGAATAAAAGTACAGAGATGTTGAATTACATGGTGGTACGTGGTGGAGGTGATTTGAGTCTACCTCTTGGATTTGTGCTCTATATACCACATCTCCTTTTGTATCCATTTAAATGCTGCTTCTACATTAGCTGTCAAACCCTGTGAAGTCCTTAATGAGCTCCATTTCATTAGTTGTTTTCAGACAGGGTCTTTTGTATCTCAAGCTGGCCTCAAATGTACTGTGTAGCTCGGGATGACCTTGAAGTTCTAATTCTCCTGCCTTTACCTCTGATTTCTTGGATTACAGGCATGTGTTACCATGCCAGGTTGTGGGCCTCATGCATGATATCCAAACATTTTGTGAATGAGCCATATCTCCAGTAAAGCAGTGAATTTTTAATTGTCAAATCTAAGAAATTGCTTTTCAAAACCCAAAAGTGTTAAGTTTTTTAAAGATGATATTACATAGTTTAAACTGGTCTCAGATAACTCAAATGCAGCCTACAGCTGGTCTTGAACTTGCTACTTTTCTGTCTCAGCCACTGAGTACAGATTCACAGATGTGCAATTGCTGCACATGGCCCTTGTGTTTTCTCTCTCTTCCTCTTTCTCCCCCTTTCCCTTCATCTCTTCTCCCTTCCTTCTTCTCTCCCTCCCAGAAGTCTGTCTTTCTCCCACTATCTTTCTTTCCTTTTTGTATTTTTTCTGTCACTTCACTCCATACTCAGTGTCTTCATTCTTCCCCTTCACGGGCAAGGCTTCTCAGTATGGCAGAGCTGCCAAGTAAGATCCTTGAGTGTAGACGCGTCAACTATTTTCAGATATGCTGCCATGCCCTTGCAATGCTGGATGCAGACCACTAATGTGGCTTTCACAGTGTGTTTCATTTGATGATCAGTCTGAGGGAGCAGAGTCTGCTGGGGCTCTCTGCTGCCTCTCTTCTCGAGTCGTCATCAACCTCAAAAAAACAATGCTCTCACTGTCCCTATTTTCCAGATGTGGAGACTGCGACCCAGAGGTTAAATGATTTGTCCACAGTTAGAAAGTCGATAAATTGTGGAGCCTGGGTTAAAATTCTGTCTAGCTCCAGAGTTAACCACAGTACTACAGCAAGAACGGAGTAAGAGTCATCATATTAGTTCCAGGTGCCTTCCCACTTTGAAGTCCTAAGCTCTCAACATAGTGGATCTGGTCCTGTGGTGATAGTTGAATACACTGCAAAATATTCCCACTGGAAGCCCAGGAGTGGTGTAGAATATTACTTTAACTATGTAAAGATGAGTTACTTCTGCTTATGCTGTGGAATCTTACCTTAACTGTGTCAAAGTGTGTTACTTTTGTTTATGCTGCATTTGTTTAATGATGTAAAGATGTGTGTTCAATTATGTAAAGATAAGTCCCATCTGTTTCATCTTCCCTGCCTAAGGCACCTGATTGGTCTAATAAAGAGCTTAACGATCAATAGCTGGACAGAGAAAGGCTCGGTGGGGCTGGCAGAAAGAGAATAAGTAAATAAATAAACAAAACAAGTAAAAGGTAAACAAAGAGAAACAGGTTAAGTTAAAAATGCTAGCCAGAAACGAGCCTAATCTAGGCCAAGCATTTATAACTAACGATGAGTCTGTGTGTCATAATTTGGGAGCTGGCTGGTGGCCTAAAAGAAAAAGCCTGGTACACAAGAGTCTACAGCTGCTTCCCTCTAAGTAGGGTGCTTCTGTGCTGAAAGCATGTCACAGCACACATTTGCATTTTGTGGTTACTTGCTTCCTATCTAATAGCCAAGACAGCAGTATTTTATACTTTGTTCATTTTCTGTTTATTTAGAAAAACTTATTCCTGCCCCACCATTCCACAGAATGTAGAAGTGACATGTTTATAAAGCCGGCACTTTGGGCTAGGACTTGGCTCAGTGGGAGACTGCTTGCTTGCCTGGCATGCATGAAGCCTTGGGTTTAACCCTTAGTACTGAACAAACAAGGCATGGTGGCACAGGCTTATAATCTCAACACCTGGGGGCGGGGGTGGAGGCAGGAGGATCCTTGGTAAAGTCAGGGTTCTGGTTTGTTAAACAGGGTGAGGAAGATGGCGTTCAGTGGAATGAGAAACCCTGAGAGAAAAGCCCATCACACGGGCGACAAAATCGGAAGTTCCAGCTGTATGCATTGGATCTCGGGGCCCGAGCCCACTGCTGAGGTGTAGGGAAATTACTCAAGCTACGGCCTGAGTACAGTGGCTCACTCCTGCCGTCCCAGGAGAATGAGAGTTGGAGGCAGGAAGTTCTTCAGAGATTTGAGCCCAGCAAGGAACACATAGTGAGGTTTAGGCCAGCCTGGGCTACAGAGTGAGGCCCTGTTTCAAAAAGCATAGCCAAAACAAACAAAAAACCCAAACATCCCCATCCCAAAGGTATTCCACTAGTGACAATGTGAAGGTGGTTTTAAAACCATGAAACTAGCAGAGCTCCTATGGCATATAGGAGAGGGTGAAGGGCAGCACTTAAGAGTCTTTCGAAAGAGAGAGGGGACCTTGAAGAAACGAGAGGCTGAGGGCCTTTGGCTACTTAGGGTGAAAGCTTAGAGAAAAAGGACCAGGATGGAGTTGTGGGAAGCGGCTTCTAGAGGGCAGTAGAGAGTACAGGAAAACAGGAGGCAGCCTAGAAAAATGCAGGGGTTATTATTTTTATTTTTATTTTAGTAACATTTTTTTCATTTATTTTACATACCCACCACAGTTTCCCCTCCTTCCTCTCCTCCCGTTCCCCCCCTCCCCCACCCCCACCCGACTCCCATCTACCCCCTCCCCATCCACTCCTCCGTCTCCATTCAGAAAGCGGCAGGCCTCCCCTGGGCTTGAACAAAAAAAATGCAGGGTTTTATATCAATGATATTACTTCTTGTTACAAACATTTAATTAATTTAAAGAAAGAGTCTCCGTGTGCAGCCCTGGCTAGCCTGGATCTCCTTATGTAAACCATGTTGGCCTTGAACTTGATTCAATCCTCCTTCCTCTCCCCAAAACCAGGCTTATATCTCAGTTGAGCACAGCCATCTCATCCTACTTTCTTGAAAAACATTCCTTTCCAGAAGTAGAAATAGCTAGGAAGACAATGGCTCCCACAGAACAAGAGTGTAGGCTAAAAATTCAGAGGTCATGAGTCTATGAAGGTTATTTTTTTAAAAATCTGCCTGGCTATTCTGGTCTTGTTTGTACAGACATTTCTAGAAGATACTGTTTGCAAAGTGGTCAGCCCTGAAATCATCTACACAGAAACAACAAAAATGAACTCCATGGGTTATAGTTATGTACTTGTGCATACTTATAAATTCCTATATATGTAACCCTAATAATCAAAGAAAAAGAGGCTATCATCTCTTTGAGAGTGGGGGGGACATGGCAGGAGTTGGAAGAAGGGGACTTGGGCAGGGAAGGGAGAAAGTGATGTAATTATATTTTCATTAAAATGTATAAAAGTAAAATAAAAATAAATCTATCCCAGTGGCAAACTCTCCTAAACCATGCTATCCCCACTGTCGAAATCAGACAAAACCCGAGAGGAAGATTGTTCCACAACATGGGCATCCAGCTCCTGTAAGGAAGAGAGAATTAGGATGATGTTTGGTTGCTCTTTCTTTTAACTGAGGCAATGCCTTCCTTAAAGCAGGCAGAGGATTCTGGCCTTCCTAATGAAGGCCCACAGTGTAAGAGCATCATGGCCACTGTCTACGAGGCTGCCATTGCTGCTGCCTCGCTTCCTTCACGCCTCTTATGCAGAGGTTTGTCAGTTGATGCTTTTTTCCCTTTTGCAGTGCTTTACATGGCCTCCAGGGCCTTTCACTTGCCAGAGAAGCACTCTACCACTGAGCCACCCTGACCCCCATCAGCAGTTAATACAGTAGAAGAATCTTTGCTCCTTCCTGGAAGGCACAAACATATGGTGCACATAGTTTCAAGTGAGTTCCTAAATCCACCAAGATCACTCTTGTTCATTCCAAAGGTCTTTTGTTGTATGCTGACACACAAGTTTGTCCAGCATGGTTAAAGCTTTACAGTGGGTTTTCATAATGCAAGAGCTCCATCAAGATGCAGCTGTGCCAGACACACTATTGAAGAGCAAGGACGTGAGGAAAGACACTTTCTCCTTCCCCCTTTTTATTTCTACAGTAGTAGTTTTTTGATGAATGTGTTTCTCTTAAGCAAAACATCCCACCAGTTAAACTGAGTTTCTTACATACTCATTTCTTCCACCACAGTTGGAGGTGGCAAGAAATGATTCTGTTGATTTCAGTGGGAAGGCTCGAGGGCCAATAATCGCCCTCACGATGCTCCAGCTCCATTTCCTCTGCTTAGGGCAGAGCCACCTAAACAGGTGCTAAAAAGATTTGCTACTGCTTCTCCTTTAAGGCTCTCTCTCTCCAGTCTCTCTTGGCTGGGATCAGTTTTTAAAATGTCAGTCTCTAGCAACCTTCACAGAGCGAGTTGGAAGTAGAGGCCCAGATTGTTTTTCACCGACCAGGCTTCCGTGTCATCTATCAAAGGCTATGGTGGCAGACTTCCAGAGACTATGCTGTCACTGAGATAGCTTGCTATGTGCTCAGGCTGAGACCTAAGTTTATGGTACAGCAAAAAGAGTTGGCAAAACTCCCTCCAAATGCTTCCTCCCCGCCCCCAACTTGGCTGAGAGCTATAAGTACTAACCAACAAAAACAATGGTAAAGGCTCTTTATTATTTAAAAATAAATAATAACATAATCATTAAGTTCACTACAGAAACAATGAAGACTGCAGGGAGCTACAACAGATTCCATTAAATACAGTCATTCCAAGAGGAGGAATGGGCAGGCCAGGAGCTGTTGTCTACCCTGCCCTGACAGTCCTGGAGACAGGGACAGGGGAACTAATAAGAGAACCAGTCAGTAACAGCATGACTCTGTATGTGTGTGGTGTGTGTGTGTGTGTGTGTGTGTGTGTGAGAGAGAGAGAGAGAGAGAGAGAGAGAGATTGGAGAGAGATTGGAGAGATTGAAAGACTGAGTGTTGGGTGTTGGGGGAAGATGGAGGCAGAGTTTTTCAGTTCTCCTTGGGAGAGTTTAGAAACTGGCCTATTGGGGCCACAGGGACCCCAAGTCAACCATAACAGACTGTGAGCTAAGGCTCACACTTGCCCTTCTGCATCTTTCCTGGTAAGTCAAGTGCACTGTCCACTGAAAGACACACTCATAATCAACACAACTGAGCTTGGTCAATTATCTACTGTTTCACCTGAGCTCTGTCATCTGTGCAGTATGGCTTTGTCTTTTCCTAAGGCTCTCTGGTTGTATACATCAGTAGAGTTGCTGTTTCAGAATACAAGCTCTTAGGGAGCAGGGTCCGTTAGGATTTTGCCTGCCCTGTCATTCTCTTATTTCAGCTCTATGTGCCTTGGGGTACATAATAAATAGTTCTCCATGAGGAGGGTCCAAGGGTTATAAATAGGCAGTTCAACAGGGGGCGGGTCCTAACTGATGGGCTCTATAGGGAAGACGGCCAGCAGCAGCCTTGCTGCAGCCTAGGGCGGCACACTGTTCAGAGTCTGAGCAAGCCGAAAGATGTGAAGCCGATTCCGTGGATCACTTGGCTTGCATCAGTCACGTTGACAAACAAAGAAGAATCTTCTTGTAATTCAAATACTCCTCCCAAGTGAACGGACTGTTGGCCGCAGGGCTTGGAGGAACTGTGGGTATTTGCCGCCCTGAGTAAGATTCTCTCCGATCCACTGGTGGACTTCAGACAGAGGCTGACTAAAAATGGATCTTTACTCGATGGTTCCTGATTAGAGCAGAAGGTGACTTGGGTGTAGACATAATAGAGTCCTTGTCTTTTAATGGTCAGCTGTTTCCCATTTTCGAGCGTTACCAAGTTGTTTTTCATGGTATAATATCCTTTCTTGGCCCAATGTAGAACTGTAACAAAGAGAGAGAAATCCCTGGTGAGCATAAGCATAGCATGTCATATATTTTTCCAACAGGAAATAAAGTTTAAGGTTGGATGCTGACTATAGTGAGAATGAATTCTCCAGGCACCTTATGGCCATCAGAGGCATGGTGAGTATAGATACCAAGTTTACACGGGCTTCAGAGTTAGTGTCAGCTTCCAACCTGGGTTTTCGTCAAGCTTGAGAAAGTCACTTGATCTCCCCAAGTCTAAGCTCCTGGACAACGGAGCAGAGACAGTATGAAAGCATATTTCAGAGACTTGAAAGTTCAAGAAAACAGCAGGTTTTCTCTCTTTGGAGTTCTCTGAGCCAATTGCCCTTGAATTTAAGGAAGTGCAAATGATCAGCCAGGCATGGTGATGTGTACCTAGAATTCCCAGACACTGTCATCTTTGGCCACATAATGACTTTGAGACCCACGTGGGCTAAGCGAGACCCTGTCTCAAAACAACACAAAAGGAACTGGAGAGGTGGGGTGTAGAGAAGATCACAGGGACATGCTGGTATCCACCCTACATGAGAAAACGTGAGTCTCAAGTTCAAGGAAAGCCCCTGGTTCAGGAGAATAGGTGGAGAGTGATGAGACAAGGGTGCCCTCTTCTGACCTTTGTGTACTCCCACTACCCTTCACTTCTGTATACATTCACACAGGCATACATATGCAAACATAAATGAGTGAATAAATGCTTTTAAAATGAAGTGCAAATGATTTCAGAATTATGCAATGCATAAAACTCTTGTTAATGTGTGAATATTTAGCTTATCGTGAATTCTACAAAGAGTTGTCAGTCTACCTAGATTAGTGACAGCTCAGAGACAAGACCCTATTTCTTCCTCCTACTTTATGCTGTCGCAAACCTGACCTGCCTCCCACGACCAAGCCTAAAATAGGTAAGGAAGTATGAAAATAAACCATGTGCTCATTTAACTGTGTTTTGATCTCTCATTGTAGTGGGTGCCACCAACTTGAAAGTACCCATATTCTTGTGGCTACGGCAGAGTCCCCACCAACAGTGTGCCATTTTCTCTGCTGAGATGTTGAGTGGGTTCAAAGTCATGTGTGCACACGATTTCAAATCTCAGCTTCCACAGAAAGCTAGATTTGATGGAGGTGAGGGGCGGGAGGTGGGGAGAGGTAAAAGTATTGTTATATTGGCTTTCTTGATATTTTCCAAATATTTAATTTGGTGTTCTTACACCAACTAGGGCATAAGATGATTCTTGTTCAGACTTCTCTTTTTGTATAGGAAGGCATCTTATCATGCCTGATATTTCTGGGTACCCCAAATTCTCCATCAAAGATGTTTGTTTCATGGTGTTTTCACTTTTAGACTGTTTGAGTCTGAAAAAATGAGCAGATTTGCTTCTGTTCAATGAATTAGGTTCCCCCCTTACATTTTTTTTCTTTGCTAAGACAGGGTCTCACTACCTATCCTTTGTTGGCCTGCAACTTGCTATGCAGACCAGGCTAACATAGAACTCAGAGATTCTCCTACCTCTGTCTCCTGAGTGTCTTCCCCTTTTGGGGGACAGGATTTCATGTAGCCCAGGCTGGCCTGGAATTTGCTTTGTAGGCTAGGATGACCTTAAACATCTGATCTTTTTGCTTCCATCCCTAGCACTGAGATTACAGATGTGTGCCACTAGGCACTGCTTTTCCCCTTTGTCTATTCTTTACTTCATTGCAGTTTTTACTAGGGCATGCAGGTCAAGTTTGTAGCACCATGTCCAGGAAAGAATGAGCATGGAGCTGCAGTGCTCTGCACTATCTGCCCTACTCTGGGCTATGCAGACCTACTGTGATCTAGACTGTGAGATATTTCACAAGCAGTGCCAATCCCGAGCCTTTTGAAAAATTCAAAATTCCACTGAATATATCCCAGTACCAAAAGATTTAGCTACAACTTGACAAAGACCAGTAGGAAGTGATTCTAAGAGGTTTCTCTGTTGCTGTAATCTAATGCAAAAGTGAATACATCATGTGAATAGCTTCCCTGGCCATGGCAATAATTGTGGTGTTTTCCTATAAGCATACTTTTTAGAGAATGTTCTATGACAAAATGAATAAATATTATAGGAACAACTGGTCTCCATGAAGGACTTTATGCCACTCTCTGGATATCACAGTGAAGTGAGCTAAATACTGGCACCTTATGCTGGTACAGCACAGCTTGACAATGTAACTCTTCTCCCACATTAGTTGACTGGATATTCAAAACTACCCTGCGAAGTATGTGAGAAAGAAAACTGCCACAGGATGAATGGGATCTGTCTAAACTCAATTAGTAAGTTGTTCATGGCTCTTGAACCCCAATGTTCACAAACTGCCAACCAGGATTCTTACTTCTATGCTCTGAGCCACAAGATCATGCGTGTGCTTGTGTGTTATACCCACTGAGGAGCTTAAGTCACCTCAGAGACAAAATAGAGTCTTCCTCTGTTTCTCTGTGTTTTTATCTTTCTCTCTCTCTCTCTCTCTCTCTCTCTCTCTCTCTCTCTCTCTCTCTCTCTCTCTCTCTCTCACACACACACACACACACACACACGGGTACAAATGCACACATGTGATTTAAAACTCCATTGTAGAGCACTCTGATGAAGCTTTCAAATGCTGCTCTGATGCTCTTGCCTTTATATACATGGGGAAATTCATGCTAGCATACGTTTCCACCCATCGACAGATGTGACACATTTTACAGCATCAGCCCTCACAAGGTAGAGATTTGGGGAAAATCTACAGGCTAGAATAATGGTAGAATCTATATGGAAATAAAAGCATTCAGTGTTGAAAAGATCAGAGTATGCCATCTGTTGTTACTTCATTGAAAAATCTAACATCTTGGCGCCTATTGATCATTACAAAATGATTTTACCTTTAATTTCCCTGAGGTCAGCCCCACTGAGACTGGGGTTAATCACACAGGGATTGACAGATGACAAAAAAGACCTCCTGAGACCCATTTATACACAGTGAAGAGGTCTTAGGAAGAGAGATGTTCCCAGTGAAGAGGTCACTACCTGCCATCTCTTTTTATGCTTGCAAAATAATGGTTCCTCCACCCAGTCATTCATCATTTAGAATCAGCCACTGAGCAAAAACATAATGAGAACATCGGGACTCCTTCCCATCTCCTTTTGTCGCTCTAAGTCCCATCTGTGCATTTGAGCTGACTTTGATAACAAAGGACAGTGTTGGAGAGTTATAGGGTAGGTTTGTAAATTGGTCCCTGGAGAAAGAGAAGTGTCTCATGATTAAGCTGCATAGCTTTGGAGTACCCCACCACCACCACCACCACACACACACATATACACACATACTCCCACACTTGGGTGGCTTTCACTCAGATGCTGTGGGACTTACCAGATGCTGTTTTACTGTTGGCCTCACTTACAACATGTACTGCAATTTGAGGATCCTCATCACCTGAAATAAAACCAAAAGCACACTGTCAGGCCAAAGAAATAGACAACTGCTCATGGAGTTAATGGGTCCAGTTCTTCAACTGCATGGCAGTGACTGTGCTACGGTAGTTTACCTTAAAGGAAGGAAAACTGGGCCAGAAAGTAATCCTTCCCATTGAAGGAAAAGGTGATTTCTAATCCTTGAAAAGCTGTGTTGGCTATTTCTATTGATCCTTTCTCCTGATATTAAATACTCACTTCCTCTCAACACAGATAGATATGAGCTAAAACATGTTACATTAAATCTGCCCTGAATCTTGTTTTTAAGAACAACTGCCATATACTGGAGTGGTTGTGAGCACCAAAGCTGTGCCTGGACACTGAGCTGGTAATATGATTATCGTGTCTGATTTGGTCAAATGACTGTCCAGACTATCAAACTGAGCTCTCTTTCTCTTGTAAGAGCCTTGCTTCCCAAATAAAAGTGCTCATCTCCTAAGTACAGAAACTGTGGGTGCTTTCTTCCCAGGTATGAGCCCAGTGCTGAGAATTTTGTAGGTATATTATGAAGGATGTTTTGATGATAAAACCATGTATTATCTAAAAGACCAATTTGGTCAAATTTATGATTTGTCTGAAGACAAACATCCACAGGGGCTTTTCCTTAAAATCGCACTGCAGTTAGCAAATAACACAGCATCACTGAACGTGTCTTGCAGTCACTGTGAGGATGAAAGCTTCAGGGGAATCAGATGAGCCTTTGGCATCAGACCACTCATTGAGACAGGTTCTGAGCACTCTCTTCGCCTAAGAAAATTGGATCTATACCTTTATATGTATACATTTCTTCATGTGCATTAGATTTGTGTAGGCATAGCATTGTGTTTGGTAACTTTGCGATGTAATAGTTTCTGCAACAGCATGCCCTTTCCCTTTTCTGCTACTCAAGTCACTCCACATATCACTGGTTTGGGGGATGCTATATTCTAACAGAAACTGGAGAGAGTTGTGTTCAAAAAGGAAATAACTGCGAGAGGAAAGAACCTGGAAAGGATCATAAAGGGAACAGTGGAAGGTGCTGGGCATGTTTAGCCTAGATAAGAAAAAGTTCAATGGAAACTCAGGGTCACAGTTGCTGTCTTTAGTAACCAGACAGCTGCTATATAGGGAAAGAACTGTTCTTTGCTTAGTATAGCCTCAAAGAACAGAAATGTGTTCAATAAGTAGACATTCCAGGAACACAATTTGAGATAAGACTTTTTTGAGTAGATATTGACCTTAATATTATTATTAGAGCTATTCAAAGATAGACCAGGTTGTCTTATTAAGTATAAGGTATTCTATCTCTAGACATGTCTGAGCAGAGGTCATATGCTCAGTGATGCTTTAAAAGGGGATTCATATTCTCAGAAGTGTACTGGATTTGAGAGCCATCAAGGTCCCTTTCTGACCCCTAGATGTCCAGGACACTCTCACTTCAAGAACAGGGCAAAGATTAGAATGTAGTATTGTATTTATTGATCCCAGAGACCCACTGGGTACTGTCCTCCCACAAAATAGTTATCATTGAATGATGAATGCCACTTTTTACCAAATGATGAATTCCTTGTCATCTGGTCCTCTGAAAGTGGAGCCAGACTGTGTGATTGCTTGGATAAATGTATTGGATGTGGGGTTCCTTTATATTTGATATTGTCAACATTACAGGAACATAGCCTCATCAATGTAGACATAAAAAGCTTTTCTGTATCACTGAGACCCAAGAAGGTACCAATTTGACAAACAGTACCTTCTTTTATTTCCAGGGCTAAATGTTCCCTGTTTCATATGGACAAACTAAAGCTTCTTTTTACCCTTTAAGCATTTATGGAAATTGGTAAATAGCAACATACCTTTTTGCATTTCATAGACGTTTTCTTTTTTCTCTTCTTTGTTTAACATTATATCCTAAAAGAAGAATCATTGCAAAAAATCAGTCGAGAGAAGCTCTGCTTTAGGGTTTTCAAGGTCTCATTCATTTGGTAACTGTCAGTCCTGTGTTGTCTGTGCCTAGGGAGGATTATAATATAGACTAAGATGCTGTCGTTAATTCCATCATAGCGATTGGGAGTCCCTGGCTCTGACAGATGAGCTGACAGCCCAGAAAACTCAGGGGAGACTCTGGAAGCAAATTCCCAGGCCTTATTATCTCCATTACCATACTCTCCCTAGACCAGAGGTTGTGATTCTGACCCTTCCTATGACCTTGGCCTCCCTGCCTTTGACAGATATTGATAAATAATGCTGAATGGGGTAATAATTCAGAACTGGGAACTGGCATACAGAATACTATTAAACACAATGCAGGTGTGGGTCTGTTTGAATAAAATTGCTTTGAAACCTCATAGGAAAAGATTTGAATATGATCATGGGAGAGAAATCCAGATTTTCACTTTGAATGTGCCTTTGTGGCTAGCTATCCTGTATGGCCTGTACTTATTTAGAGTAATCAACATTCAGGAACTATAGGCCATCTCTTAATGCTGGCAATCTCTTCAAAATATGTAGTTTCTTGTTTTTCTTTTAACATTTTAATTTTTTTTTTATTTCCATGTACATTGTTTTGTGTTTTTAAGACAGGTTCTCATCCAGCCTAGGCTAACCTTGGACTTGTTATGAAGCTGGGAGTGACCTTGAATTCCTGATCCTCTTGTATCTACCTCCCAATTGGTGGTTACAGGCATGTACCACAGTGACTAACTAAATGCAACACTTAAAGATTTCTTTTACTTATAAGGTGAAAAAATGTCAGACATACTTAAGGAAGCCAATACAGACTTCCTTCTATGTAGATTGAGAGATGATAAAAGCTATTGCCGCCATTTTAAGGAGATTGAATAAAAGATCTGGCAAATGCGAGGTTACCCAGAGGGTCTGTCTGAGGATTAAACGAAGTACAGAACGTAGGATCACATTCATTGACCTGGCTCAGTCTGTTTCACCACTCTATTCTGAACAAGAGGGGAAGGAAAAGTGTAGCGTTTCCACTTCTGATAGCCCTGTACTCCTTGACGTTCCTGGAACCTAATGTCTGCAGGGCCCTTCCTTCACGTTCCTCACCCCAAGAAGGCATTTGGATTGCTACTCTCCACTACGTTAGCTATACGCTCAGCTTGGCCGCCAGATGTGAGGGCATAAGGCACGGGTCCCGAAGGGGAATCTGAGCCTTGAAATGTTCACATGGGCTACATAGATGTTCACATGGTCTACACAGATCAACTTTCCACTTGAGCTGCAGTGGGGCACTACGGCAATGTGGCAACAGGAAAATGTTTGTGAGCCAACAAGTAAACAAATGACTCTTTGGTGTCTTTTCAAACACTGAAGTGTGATGATGGAAGTTAAGATACTACTTTTAGGCTAAGTCATTGCAGGGCTGGGGCCTGGCCCAGACGAAAATGTGAGGTCAGCAGAGTTTGCCTTTGGTTCACCCAGTTCTACCTTTTTGTGAACTTTCTCCCAGCCACACTCCCCAGAGCTTTTATTTATTTGTTTGTTTGTTTATTCATTTATTGGCTTCACTCTTCACTTAAACTGAAAGGCTTTTTAAAGTCAAATTTCAGAAAAATCGTGGGTTAATGATTTGGCTCTCAGTGGAAGCTCTACGATGGCAGATATGGATACAGTACCTTTAACCTAAAATGGAAATGATTCGATGCCCTCAAAGGCACCTCAGACATTGGTAGACAGATGACCATGGGACTGGTCATTCTGGACAGGGAGCAAAGGAGATTTTAATATGCAATTACTCTGTTCAAAGTGGTGCCTCCGCTTGCCCTGACATGAGCCCTGACTGGCAGCTCCCTCCACAGTGAGAGCTCTGTGATACTTGTCTCCGAAGTTAGTGAGCTCTTTATCATGAGAGGGATTTAAATGAAAATTGGGTGAGCACTTTGCAGAGATGGGAGAGAGAAGACTGATATTCTAATACCTGAGAATTGCATCTGACTATTTCTAGGATCCCATCAGGCCCTGTGATTTCGGGGTTACGTTGGGCTAGCTGAATCATGGTCCAAAACCCGCTAATATTAGCTAAGAAAACACAGATCTAATCTAGATTTAGTCTATAGTTGACTTGCTAGGCTAAACAGTTCCAGATACTGTTTCTGAGTGAAACCGCTAGTGAAATGGCGGTCTAAAGGAGGCCAGAAAACTTTGCATCTCAGCTTTTTTATATCCAAAGCAAAGAAAGCACTGCCCAGGGCCCTGTAGCTGCTGCAGTAGATGCAAGGAGCATTCCCGACAGGGAATTTAGTATATTACTGGGGCCTTGGCCGGTATGCTTAAAAAAGTTCTACTTTTTTTTTCCCCGTACAAACAGAACTGGCTCTTTTCCTTACTCCTATCCTGGGTAGATGGTTCTGGAAGCTTTCCACATCAGACCTGAATGAGGACAAAGGGAATTGGCAGGTCACCTGTGAAAGCTCTCTGTAAGAAGGAAAAATGGGAAAAGCCACTTTCACTGACTGCCATTCAAGAAAATGGAAGATTGGTCACACAGTGAGAGAAGGCCAGAGCGGGGAGTGTCCTTAGAGAGAGTCTCGTCCTCCTTCTGTCACACAGCAGAAATGAGCTCAGAGAGATGGAAAGCTCTTCAGCAAAATATAATCATTATGCCATTTGGGATTATCAACCATCATCTCTAACACAACTTTATACACATTAAAATTAGTACCTTGCATTACACCCAGCACCCTGTAAGCACCGGGGAAACCTAAGACATTTCTTGAACTCACCAATATTGCAAATTAAATGTTAGGGGTTTTATCTAAATCCCAGATTCTGGAATACAGGTGTTAATACAAGGTACATTACAACCTTGCATAATAAAAAATTAACTTGAAAAGCAATTAGGCATTATAGAGAATAGAAACAATAAAACCTAGATTAAACTGGACACAGTGGTACAGGCCTGTGGTTAGAAACAGGAGGATCAGGAGTGCAAGTGTTCAGCTACATAGCAAGTTCAAGACAAGCCTAGGCTATACAAATCTAAATAAATAAATTCTAATTTAATATAAAGAGCTTAATTTAATATAAAGAACTTAGAAGCCAGTGGCATATTTGAACTATATTCTGATCCCAGTAAGTGGCCAAGGAATAAACTTTTAGAATCTTCTCCACTGGATTAAATTCCACCTTGTTGACAGTACAGGAGGATATATATTAAGTTCATAACCAAGATCTGAAGAGGACAGCGGGGTGGCTCGGTGGTTAAAGGCCCCAGCTGCCAAGCGTGAAAAAGGGTCTGAGTTGGATCCGCAGGACTCATGCAGTGGAAGGAAAGAATCAAGTCTCGCAAATTGTTCTGTGACTTCCGTGTGTTCAATTTACAACTGAAGTAAGATCGTATGCTCTTTACTCCGTTATTGAATTATACATGATCTTCACATCAGAATTAATTTCTGTTGGTTTGTTCAGATGACCACCCACCTGGCACAGAGCTGCCCTCAATGTGCAGTGAGCACTGTCTCCTAGAACAACCCCTAAATTAGCCAATGGATGGCCACAGGTGCTAGGATCAGTTCTGAAGGGAAATGGGCAGGGAGAGTTTTCAATGTTCTGTTTCAGGAAAAAAGAGCACCTTAAACTCATGTCTGTGATGCACAAATAAATGGAAAAATTCTGGAAAGTTGAGTTTTAGATACTCAGTTACTAGGAAGCTGGATGACAGCCGGAATGTTTAGAAAGCTTTAAATCTTTAGAGTGAAATGGCTTCCTGATCAAGTAATGCTACAAGGGCTCTACTGTGAGCGGCAGTAGAAGGGAAGACCACACTATCACAGTACCTAACATCCCTCTCATCACTGGATAAGCACTGAAGACTGAGGGGTTCCTAGTACTATCAGGACAGGCAATCTCTTCCCTTATGGCCTGCCAAGTTGGCACCAGATAACCATTACTACTTTAGCTAAGAAACGGAGATCAGACTCTGGTTTCACAGTGGAAGGATATTAAAGGATGAATGGAGAAATACAGAAATACAAAATTCCAACTGTATGTCCTGCACAACTACTGTGTGGCAAATAGCATGTGTGTGCTGATGAGTCATGTGTCGCTGTGCATGAGAGTATGTATGTTCTTTAGAGAAACCCTTTTCTATTGCAGTAATGTGCACATGTCCAACTTTTATTTTCATTTTATCCTAAAGCTTTGTCTTCATTTGTGCTTTTTGTATGTATCCATTTCCACACCCACCTATATGTGTGTGTATACATATATATGTACATGTGTGGGTTTATATACAACACATTTTGATGTCTCACTCTGTAGAACAAACTGGCCTGGAATTCACGGCAGTCTGTCATTCTGCTTTGGCCTCTAGAGCACTAACTAGGATTGAAGGTGTGACCACCACCCCTGCTTACAGTTTGAAACCTTTCCAGGGTCAGAATTCAGTTTGCACACCTAGGAAATGTACTAAAACTTCTCAGTGAAATCTGTCAGGAACTGAGCACCTTACCTTGACAGGGTTTTCATATCGCCTTCTCACCTCCTCACAGTTCAGCAAGGATAAGGATTCTTCTCCTTTCATGCATCTCTGTAGCTTTTTTATAAATACAAAATCTTCACGAAGGCTTGCTTCCTCTTCTACCTGTTTTGAAAGAACAGGCTTGTGAGAAGTGTCATAGTGAAGAAGAATGCAGCTAACGATGTCTGCACCCACATTCACTTCCATAGCACTGAAGAGAGGAGGACTTTGAGAGCATAAATGGAGAATATTATAAGTTATTATGTTGAATTATTGCTGTCTGATGCTTGTCATTTAACAACCTAAAAAGCCATGATTCCGATGTCATGTTGTCTATGGCTCTGGATAGAAATCACAGCTATTCTGGCGACCTTTCATCACAAAGTGTATGTTTTTCAGTGTACCACCACAGCAATATCCTATAATTGCCATAGTTCTCATCAGCAATAAAGTAGTTTGATGCTGAGCTAGTTTGCCTACTTCATGGCAGTGTTCACAACATGGGGCTTTATAAAGGAGTTCATTCGTAATGTGGATTTATAATTACATCTCTCCTTTCTTTAATACTTGTAGAAAGCATTATGCAGTTTTAAAGAAATTATCTCTCAGCCCCAAAGTGAATGAGATATTTACTTTTCCAATATTGGAGTAATTAAATGTATGCTATTAACTTGTACTGTCAACTAATCCCACACCACGTTTTTGTCTTCAGTGTAGATTCCTCACTTTAAAAATGAGAACCAATACAGGCATAGTGGAAGATGTTTGCAATCCCTGCGCTTGCTAAGCTGAGGCAGGAGTGTTGCTGTGAGTTAAAGGTCAGTCTGGCCTATCTATGGTCAGTTCCTTATTATTCTGGGATAAATTACGAGACTCTGTCTCAAAAAAAAAAATCCCAAATCAACCAAACAAAAACAAAACAGAAAAATAAGGTGTAGTTTGCCAATGGCTTTGCCTGTCATCAAGGGCTTACTTAAAGGTTATATAGCGTGTTTGGGTCTACATGAGTTATAATTTCTCCATTACCCTCAATGTCTGTATACAGGCATTTGACAGAGCCCACCAAATAAGCAAACCATCAGACCCAGACCCTGTCTCTTCGCTCAGCAGTGAAATCCAGTTTGAGTGGGCAAGCAGATAGTCTCCACTCTCGTTATCTGTCTCCACCTCTCCTTATATTGATAGGAACTTCATGGCCTTCATTTAGGTCTTGTTTCAAGAAAGGCTAGCCAATGATCCCAGAGAAAATACAGCCATCCAGTTGTTGCCTCATCATTGTCCTCACTTCCAAGCGTTAGGAACAACTAGCTACTCGATGACTTTTCTCCTAGTCTCTTGTGATCGGCATTTTGAAACACAGCCCATCAGTGGAAGTGAACCAATACATGGATACAAGATCAATCCTGAAGTTGCCTTTTTCTAGTCTGCTCCCTCCCTGTCCTCTCTTGCTCCTATATACCAGATCATTTAAGCGTGTAAAACACCTCAGAGGAGCACAGAGCAGCTTATAATGGCAGTTGACATTGAAGAATTGTACCGAGAGCACCATTCTAATTTTTTTTTAAAATCTGCAAATTGAGGGCATTGTACATATCTGTACTAATCCAAAACACAATGGAATTTCAGACCAAATCAATGCTCTTTTTGTCTGGGCCAAATTTTTAAAGAAAAATGTTGTCTTTGTGGGGAAAAACAGTTTACTTAATGAAGCAAATTTTAGGCAATAGCCATAGCTGCTGCTGGTCCAGCACTTCCTATGTGTTAGGTACTAGTCTAAGTGCTTTCCCGGGCTAGACTCAGTTGACCCGTGGCATGGGTCCCACTTTCACCTCTATTTCCTTGCTGTAGAAAGAGAAATAAAAGCATAAAGTGACATGCCTAGAATCTCAGAGCAGTGAAGAGCCAAGCTAGGATTTGAAACGAGGCTGCCTGCTTCAGATCCCAAGATCTTTGTCAGAGGCAAAAATGTGAGACCGCCACTGTCTAGTCAATAAGCATTATGCAACAAGACTATTAATCCACTTAAGGATTGAGTCTACTGTCCTCCATCATTTGGGTAGAACTTAAATCAACCAGTCCCCAAATCAATAAGACCCCCAATTCAGTTCATGAAGGCTTGTAGATCACCTTACCTTATCCAATCTTCTATGAAGATACACAGCATAAAGCACCGACCCAATCATCTGGGTGATGAGAAAAACAGTAAGTAAATACATAAAAATTTTCATGCTCATGGGCAGCCCAGTAGTCACGGATCGGGGAGAAGGCTGGCTGTATGTTTCTATCATGCTGGGTTAAAGTTGAAATGGTGTCTTCTGACCAAGAAAGTGGCAGAGGCAGCATGAGAAGACTGTCAAAGTGGCCACCTTACTCAGGATTAGTTAAGAGCGCACAATCGTCGCAGCCCACACTTCCTGGAAAATGTGCTTCGTAGTCTTCTGTCCCAGTCAAAAAAAAAAAGTTACGTAAAGGTTTTTTCTCTTCTTTTCTTTCCTTTTTTTTTTTAAACTGCACACATATCATTCACTTCCAGGCTTTCCCTTTTGTTAGTAAAGAAGAAACGAGTTTCTTCTTCCATACATTCATTCTTGCCTTGAAATGTCACAGACTTCTTAAGAGACAATGGCAGTATTTTCCTATCGCTGTCTAAATTTTGGGGTTCACCAGTTTCAAGGAAAGTGACAAATGAGTCCACTAGTAATAAACTTATTTCAATTTCAGTCTTACTCAGATAACCTGGAACCTGGTATAAGGGGAACAGAACAGATGTTTGCAAAAATATGGATTGATTTCATGCCCAGGGTGCCACTAGATAATCGCTTCTCGAGACTTTGTTTCTTTAATGTCTAAGCTCAATGAAATCTTGCTAGCTTTGCTACTCAAAAGTGCATGACATAAAGCAGAAGGGGCTCCCTATTTGCTAAATAAGTTGTAGCTGGAAAGAGAATCCGAGAAAAGGCCAAACTACCTACAGTGTTTGGAGAGTTCAGAGCAAACCTTGGGAATGAAGCTAAAGGAGAATGTTCAGCCTGATTGGGCCACATTGCCTGGCTCCATGGTTACAGTCCATTATGCTGATGCGTGTCTAAGGATAAGAACAAACTTCGGCTAAGAAACCTAGGTTCTAGTCCTCACTGCACCAATACATCCTTAGAGACCTCAGGAAATCACTTTGCTCCTCTAGAGCTCCGATTCTCCTCCATAAAAGGCAGCCTGTCTTCCTTAGCCCGTAAGTTTGGGTGAAGATGAAGATAGGAATGAAAGACTTTTGAGACATCTTATGCAATATGTAGTTATCCATATTGTTTTTGTTTGCTTGCTTGGTCGGTTGGTTTTGGTTTTTAGAGACAAGGTTTCTCTGTGTAACAGCCCTGACTGTCCTGGATCTTGCTTTGTAGACCAGGCTGGCCTCAAACTCACAGAGATCCGCCTGCCTCTGCCTCCTGAGTGCTAGGATTAAAAGTGTGCACTGCCACCACTTCCTGGCTCAGTTACTCCTATTTTTAATGGTTTTCTTAGCCTAAGCAATGAGGTTTTCAAATGATTTCTAACTCTTTATATAATAGAGAAAAAACAATAGCAATGGCCAAGTGACTTCAGGCTGTGACACTTTGTGCAGGATTCAATGTGTATGAGTGGCTACTGTGATGTCATATCAGATAGCCTTCAAACTGAGCACAGCTGTGGAAATCCCTCTCCCACATCCCGACCTCACGTAGAAACCATGATAAAACTGCTTTGGTGATTCCTACCAAACTGTTTTAAGAGACAAATAGGAAATAGTAGCAGTGCTCTGCTAGGCATGCCGTCTGTGGAGCTAGCGCCTGCCGTCTTCCCCTCCCACGCCTCTGCATCCTGTCCTGGGCCCAGACCTGAGCACTTTGTCACTACATCTGCTGAGGAGGTGGCTTCAAAGCAAGTGATCAACTTTGATCAGTCAAGTCAGAGGCTTTGCTTCTTAAGACAAGTGAGCATGCTTGGGCTCTCAGGGCTGTGTCCCAGGTCAACTTCACGTAATTATAGAAAGTTCTAGTTACACAGGCCCTGTGAAGATTAGTTTGGCCCAGCCAAGCTTAAGGGAGAGATTGCTCCAGGGACCTCGGACAGGCAGTCAGGGGTTTTTTGTGTGATCAACTTCAAGAAAGAGTCGGTCAGCCTTCCTGCTCCCCCTTCTTCATCGCCAGCCTCCTGAAGCCTGACTTTTGCCCACAACCCAACACTGAAACTGCTGCTTCTGCTATTAGCTAGCTCAGTTATAGTTTTGTTCTGGATGCTTTTCAGCATTCCTTTTTAGTGCCTTCTCTGCCGTTCTCCTGACTTATTTTTCTACCATTCTTCTGGTACCTTGAATTCTGTACCACTATGACCACTATTCCATTTTATTTGACAGATTTACCAAGTGTGATTGGCTGATAAAAATTGTATAGATTTCTGGTATGCATGATGCTATATGCATTGTGAAAATGATTGATCTTGTTTTTCACCAGGCGTTTTTATAGGCTATCTATGACATGTCCTGCTCACATTCCTAGTTTGAGGTTATCCGCTTGTGTCTACCAAAGACAACTGTATTCCACTATTGGGGATGTATATGGCTCAGTTATTATTACATATTTGCTTGCTCAAGTCACAGGCCACTCATAGATCTAAAGAGTTGCTTCCTCTTAGAATGCTGTCTACTCTTCATTTGATCTTCTTTTTTGTACCCATTACATGTCTTTAATCCCAGCACTTGGGAGGCAGAGGCAGGTGGATGTCTGTGAGTGCGAGGCCAGCCTGGTCTACAGACTGGGTTTCAGAATAGCCAGGACTGTTACACTGAGGAACTCTGTCTCACAAAACAAACAAACAAACAAACAAACAAACTTTGGTCTTCTTTTTGGTTATCTGTCTTTCCTTTCCCTCTGCTTTCTTCCTCTTCTTCTCCCAGTCACTGGCCTCACCGTGCACCTAACTAGAGAGGCTAGAGACCTGAGAGTCATTGGCGCGTCTGTTCTCTGTCTTACCTTAGATGGCTGTCCAGTTCCAGTGCTCTTCTTTCTCCCCACAGCTTCTCGGTTACTACTGCTTTGCATCATACCTCCTGTCAGCAACCAAACCCAGGCCTTGACTCCTTCCTTTTCTTGGCTTACTAAACTGTAGCACCCCAAATTGTCTCCTGGCTTCCTTTCCTGCCCCCCTCATCTACCTTCTACACTGTTAGATTAAATTGAAATCTTTTATGTGACCGTATTAGACAATCCAATTGGACCTAAGACTCGGTTCCAGACTCAAGGCAGTGCCATGACATGTGCCCTGGCATATTTGAATGTTTGAATGGTTCTGGTGTACTGGACTCATATTTCTATTCATTCCTTGAATCAATCTCTCTCTCTCTCTCTCTCTCTCTCTCTCTCTCTCTCTCTCTCTCTCCCTCCCTCCCTCCCTCTCCCTCCATCCCTCCCTTCTTTTCCTCTGTCTCTCCCTTCCTCTCCCTTTCTTCCTCTTTCCCTCCCCTATTTTCCTTTCTTCTTTCTTCCCTCCTTCTCCCCTCTCTAGCCCTGGGGCCTCTTTTTTGCTCTGCAAGTGCATGACACTGAGGTGTCCTGTCAGAAGCTTCTCTCTTCCTGTCCTTTTCACAATAGTCCTTTTGCATGATGCAACAATGGCTAGTTTTCCAGTTTCCAGGCTTCAGCTCTGTTATGATGTCTCATTCCGAGGCAGAGGTCCTTCCTGTTGGAACTTCCTGTACTTGTTTCTCTCTAACACTGGAAGGGCTGGCCATTGTGGTGGGCCCCACAGAGAGCTCTTCAGCGAAGCCTGGGCTGGTGAAGCACTGTCACAATGCTAGCACTTGGGAGCCTGTGGCATGAGCATAGTGAGGAAGACACCGTCCTGGTCTGCACAGACCCTTTCTAAGAACAAACAAAAATGAAAAGAAAACCTTCAGCTTTCTACATCTAGAAATGACTGTCAAACTTTCTTCCCAGCAAATATGGAGATTTATGGCATGCAGGAAAGTACCTGGAGCTCGAATCAGATGTTGACAACTGTTGATTTAGTTTATAGAAAGAATTAAATCAATGATGTGAACTGTCTCATTTTTCAGTTGTTCTGATACAGATTTTTAAGTTCCCATCTTTTTATGCTACTCCTTTTTTTGCAGCCTAGTCTCCAATCTGTAAGCAACAAGTATAAAGGGGAAAATTCTTTCAGTGTATTGTACTTCAACAACTTGTTTTGTGTGTGAATACACTTGTGGTTGTGATTTTCTATTGATAATCTAGAACAGAGTCATAATTTCTGCAAGGAAAATTATTTCCAGTGTATATGAAAGAGTTTAACTATATCAGTATTTTGTTTGTTCTATGAAGGGCATCACAGAGACTGTTTTTTTTCCTAACTATATCTGGAAGATTATCCATTAGAGGACATGGTTTTTATTTTCAGCACAAGAAATGAGCAAATCCCTGCCCACATTTCTTTCCTCATCTTTCACAACCCATTTATGCTCATCCTGCATGTTAAGCTATTTTCCTTTCCTTTGATATATTGTGCTTATTTATACTATTCCACGTGTACAGGCTGATTCCCATGTCCCTTACCATTAACGTTCAAAGTGAAATACCCCTCCCACAAGGTAGCCTCATCTGTGTTTAATCTATCATAATATTGTCACGTCACATCATAATTGATTTATCTGACAGCTCTGCCATTAGCCACTAGAACAGAGTGTTTGTTTTTGTAATTTCAGAGTATTTGACATCAGAAAAACTGTGGTGAATTAGTAAATATAACTACACTGTTTATAATGGGATAGAAAGGGAACGTGTAAAACATTTTAAGCTGGAAGAACAGTGCTGGGGTGGACTGGGGCTGGAGAGATGGCTCAGCAATTAAGAACACTGGCTGCTCTTGCAGTGGGTCTGGGTTTGATTCTCAGCACCCACATGGTGGCTCACAAGCACCTGTAACTCGAGCTTCGAGGAATCCAGTTCTCTTTCCTGACCTTCTTGGGCATACACACATATGTATACATATACATACAGGCAGGTGGAAGAAGAGACAATCAAATATATTTTTTTTAAAAAAAAAAAAAAGAAAGAATAGGAGGAGAAGAGGGGGAGGAGGGGGAGGAAGAGGAGGAAGACAAGGACTGGAAGGAGAAGGAGGAGGAAGAGGGGGAGGAAGAGGAGGAAGAGGGGGAGGAAGAGGAGGAAGACAAGGACTGGCCAGTCTTGCTGGTGACACAAGTCAGAATGTATTTGTTTTGAAACTTATTCTACTTCTCTAATAATCTCTCTTTCCTCTGGAGTCAGTT